ATATTGGATGGCTGTTGATCTTATTGGAGAGTGAACAAGCTGCTCTGGAAATTTCTTGATCAGCAACCAATCTGCCCTTGGGAAACTGGTCAATTACTTCTGGTATATATCATTAATGCAATCTTTTTGCAAGAAATGACTTGGGCTTGTAGACTTCCGTGGGCTGAAAACATTTATATAACCACTTACCCCCTCAACCATCACCCCTTAACAGGAAATATTCTCGTGCTGTTAAGGAATAGAATTTATAATGACACAATAGAACCTTTTATCCACCTTCAAAATTTACAGGGTAAAAGAAGCATCATCATGAAGAGATTTCCATATCTGCAAGGGCACAGGTATGAGTCTGCCACATTCAGGCATCTTAGTCACAGGACATCCACTCCACTGATATATACAACAGAGTTAAATTTCCCTTTGGAGTGAAGTGCAAAGTCAACACACTGCTTGGAAGCTTAAATGCCAAGATAAAATAATAAGTACCAATTAGACCCAAATTGATTCTTTTCCCCCATTGCAATAATCACCCCATCTACAGATTCAACTGGGGCCTTGGGTTCCATTAGTCAATTATGGATTCTTGTAAGTCCAGCTCTGAATGTGTTTCCTTCATGTCCCATTTAATATTGCTGCATTTCCACTAGAAAAGTTGCAATGCAACGGTTTCCCCATTGTAAAATGAATCATATACCTTAGGTTCTTGGTTACTCTGTTCAGTTTAAAAGGAAGTAATATGCATTTAAAGGACATTTTTTTATGACAACAGGGCATTCTAACATACTTTATGATCAATGACACTGCAGTTGATCTGAAGGGGGGTCACATGACTTGAAACATTAACTATTTCTTCTCCATAGCGGCTGCCAGACCTGCTGAGTTTCTCCAGCAATTACGGTCTTTGTTTGCTCAGACTACCATCCACAGTTTTGTTTTATTTTGAGTCCAATGGAGTTTTGTTTTATTTTGAGTCCAATGGAGCTTTGGTTTAATGTCTACCCAAAGATGGCACCACATGTTAACTTAGAAGACATACAAGTTGAACCACCTTTTCTGCTAAGCAGCACTCGAGATATTTCCTAATCAACCTGTTATAACACACCTCCGGAGAAGGTGGGACTTGAACCCAGGACTCCTAGCTCACAGGTAGCATCATCTATCTTACCAAATTAATTATAGTGCAGCAAAAGAATTTAATGTTCATGAAAAACAGTGTCAGAATGGAAGGAGGAATCCACCCTGAAAATGATCTAGAAAATTATAGTCTAGAATCATTAGAATTGTAAAATCGTGTCCAGAAATGCCATGTGTTTATATGCAGTTCAGTAGAACAAATCAAACCCTGAAACAGCTGCTTGGTACAATTGCTTAATGGAATGAAAATGTCTATTGATTCAGCAGAAAGCCAAAACCAGTCAGTGGTTACTAAAAGACCTCAATGCCAAAATGATCAGTTTGCAGCAAATTCCTCACCCAACAATGGCAAGAACTCAAGTTTATTAAGTCCCATTTAAGTTGACTCAGTTAACATTGTCACTTAACAATGCTAAAGCAATACAATATATTTCTTTTAAACTTGAGTTTTAGTTTAATGTTTTTGCTAGATTTACTGTTCTGCAGTTTATCTGCTCTCAAGAGGTTCTGTCTATGCTTTTAGTCACAAACCCACATGTGAACATGTCATCCTCCTGCTTCCACCCCATGCCCTCTAACCTTCCTTTTAAAATCTCTGGTGTTCCTTTCTGTCCTAGCTACTGTTCTGAGCTTAAACTGAAGTGTTCTGCTCGGCCTGCTGTGTTCATCCAGCTCTGCACCTTGTTGTCTCAGATTCTCCAACATCTGCAGTCCCTGCTATCTCTGTTGAACCCCTACTGGCTGAGGTTGGTCAGTGCAGCTAGTTCTGCCTGCTCAGAGCAGCTTCACCAGTAGAAACATTTCAAAATTGAGTTCAATGGTTTTAGGGCCTAAACCTTCCCATGTCCCAGCCCCCTACACCACACACCAGGCCTTGTTACCACATAGCCTGCCATTACCCCGTTGTTAGTCACTAAGAGTCCCCATTTACAACTATTCACCCTCCTAGCCGGATTGTTATCAACTCCTTTGTCTGTCCAACTGTTCTTCTCTCTCTTCGGGCTCTATCCTATCGTTTACTCCCTACCCCAAACCCCTCCCTATTTTCTGCATTTAAACTGACGTTTTCCCAGCCACCATTAGTTCTGAGGAAGGGTCACCGGACCCGAAATGTTAACTCTGATTTTTTTCCTTCACAGATGCTGCCAGACCTGCTGAGCTTTTCCAGCAACTTCTGTTTTTGTTACCAGTAGATGGAACCTGGTCAATTAAAACCTCACGAATGGAGTGCAATTTTAACATTTTTTCCAGTACAACAAACTGGTACCCTCTATAACCCAGCAAAAATGATAAACCTCAAATACTACAAAGGTTACTGTATTATTCTGTCCAATTATTAGTTTTGGGAATTTATCTCAATATAAATATAATTGTTGTTCAATCGAATGGCCACATGAAACATTAATGGTTGATTCAATTTCAAATCAATTTCTCTTCAAATACTGCGATCTACCATGATGTCCAAGTAGTCAGTTGAGAGTGAGATAGGAGGCTCTGCCTTATTTAAAGGCAAAGTTGCGTTACTATTTAAATGCTTCATGCTGTAAATAAAGTAGAATAGTGATGTGTATAGCTCCTGCATTATGTTTCTATTACATAGTAGTTTAACATTGATTATGTGAACTTCCTGATTATCCGGAATATTCAATCAGCACACTTCTGGTCCCATAGGTGCTAGTTAATAAAAGGTTTGCTGTATTTACATTTAAAAAGCACTTGTGACACAGAGGTAGTGCTCATACCCATGGACTAGGAGACCTAGGTTCAAGTCCCACCTTCTCCAGAGATGTGCAAAGATAAAGTTGCCATAGTCCCAGAGGACCATAAGGCTGCCCTCTCATGTTAAACCACCACTAGACACCCCTTTCTAATGAGGTTCACCACGCCTCAGGCAAGGGAAGAGTCATTCATGGTGACCTAGGCTGGTGTGGAGATTGAACCCATACTGTTGGCGTCACACTGCTGTGCAAACCAGCCATCCAGCTAACTGACCCTCTGACGTTAAAGGTGTTATGAAACATCTCTGAACACATCGATTAGAAGAAGTATCTAGTACTTACATTTAAAGAGCACTTGTGGCGCAGTGATAGACCTCTAGACCAGGACGCTTGGGTTCAAGTCCGATCTGCTTCAGACGTATATAATAATCTTTGAACAAGTCAATTAGAAAATATTGACAATACTTAGACTTCAATTGCATTTCTGCTTTTAAATCTATAGTTTATTTTATGAATATGACATTTAAGAAAACACAATTTATATTTGAAAGTTGTTTTATGTTGAAGAAGATCCTGAACCATCTAAATAGTTATGTTTATTGATTTATTTCAGAAATTATTTCAGTTAGGATACAGAATTTCAACCTGGACATTATTTATTTCCTCCCACCCTCCCAAGAAAATATGGCCACAGGAATCCAACTTTGGCTTTAACATAGTTTTCCAAAGCAATCAATGCTTTATGTAAAGTTGCGATGTTCAGGAATGGAATCACAACTTACTGCACTGATTATATCACCACAGCATTGTGGATGAAATGCCGAAAAATTTCAATATGTGCCAGAGTAAACTGTGGAGCGCAAGGGTTCAAAGGTTCTAGTGTGAACCACAGCACACAAGACGACAATATTTACAGTGGTACAATCCTTCATGTCTGATGGACAAATTTAAATCCCATGGAAACCATCAGCACTGAGAAGTGATTCAGTACAAATTCAACTAAATCCTTTGCATTGGAAACTGAAGTCATCGAATTTGATGATTTAAAAACTATAATAGTTAAAAGGTATCTTTGTTAATTGTATCCCATTGATTTTATTCAAATTATCAGTTTTTTCTGCCCTGTTTTAAAATGGCGTCTACACCAATACGGAAAGAAAGATAGTACATATGCACAGCAGGTAATTGGGAAGGTTACTGGAACGTTGGCCCTTATTTCATGGGGATTGGAGTATGAGAGCAGGGAGTCTTACTGCATCTGTACAAGATACTGGTGAGATCACATCTGAAGTACAGACGGCAGTTTTGATCCCCTTATTTAAGGAAAAATGTCATTTCATTTGAGGCAGTATTTACTAGATATGCAATTGTACAAACTGAACTGCTTTTGAGACAGTGTACAAAAGTGGGCGCCACTGAATGGCAACTTTGTGCAAAAGCAGTTCAGAGAAGGTTCACTAGGATGATCCTGGTAAGGTGGGAATTGTCTCATAAAAAAGGTGGACAGGTTGGGACTCCACTCACTGGAGTTTAGAAGGATGAGAGGTGATGGCATTGAAACATATAGGATCCTTAAGGGGCTTGACAGAGTGAATGCTGAGAGGATGCTTTCACTCACAGGAGAGACTAGGACCAGAGGGCACAGTCTCAGATAAAGCAGTATTAGTTTAAAAACGGAGATGAGCAGGAATTTATTCTCTCAGGGGGTTGAGGAGGTCCTTGGAACTCCTTGTCACAGTCCTGGTGTATATTTAAGACTGAGATAGATAGATTCATGATCAGTAGGGAAATCAAGGATTATGGGAACAATGCAGGAAAGTGTAAATGAGAAAGGTCAGATCAGCTGGGATCCTGTCGAATGGCAGAGCAGACTCGATGGGGTAAATGGTGTATTTCTTCTCCTATTTCTTATTGTCTATATTTTGCACCCAGCATTTAGGTTGATACCTGTTTCTGGGAAGATTTTAAGAGTTCAACCATTAATTTGTATGCAGTGATATGTAGAAAACCCTCAACTTTCTGACTCCAATCTGAGAAAGTCCCCATCTGAATGGATTTCACTTCCATTCTGTGCCTCCCTTTAGCCCAGAATGTGTCACAGTACTGCATTAAATGTTCTCAATCATTCTGTTAAATAAAATACAATGCAACTGATAAATGGACTTTTTAATTATGAGCAAGAAAACAATATTGTCTGCACAAAAACCTACATGTCTGATACAGAATTCATCCAGCATACTGAGACTCTTGGAGTTGCATTAACTAAACATAGACCTTGGTTAATACTAACAGATTCTCATATAAATTAATTGCAGTTTCCTGGAAGACAAACCCAGTTTATAGAAAATATAATTTTACTGTACAAATTTACATCACATTCAAATCTAATTAAGTTGCTTAAACAAATGTGTTGCTTTCTTTAATAGCCACCAAGTACATATAGTATTGCATTTCACCTACTACTGCAATATTCTACAATCAGAACAGCCATTTTTCACATTTAAATTTATTTTCTGGGGTTGAAAACTTCTTGTATTCGCTCCCTTGTATAAGCGTCCCATAATATTAAAATTTCAAACACACCACTTATTGCAAAATACTGCAAAATGGCAGCTGCCACTTAGCAACAATATATAGAATATTTTTTTCAAAGGAAGCACTAAACTTAAACAGCACCAGTGTACATACAAGGTGCAAGAATCCAACACAAAAATACCCAATCCTTAAAGTTTAAGCCATCAATAAATTATTGAAAACTCCCCTTTTTTAAAAAAACCGCACGCGCATACACACACGCACGCACACACACACACACAGAATCCATGTACAGAATTTCTAAAGTACCAAAAATGCTACACCTAGCTTCAGGAAGCCAATATAAAATGTAATTTACATTCATAATACATGTTCAAGATTGCACTGAAACCATCGTGCTTATGATGCTACTCTGCTAAATATACTTCGGTGCCACTGTAACGTTTGCATTACATTCAGTCTCAGGTGCAATACAAAGAAAAGTAGCCAAAGGAATCTGCCACAATCATTACAAAACCAAAACTAAAATAAACGCTGTGTGTGTGTAACTGAGAGAATCTTCGAACCATGAGAGTAATTCGTATGCTTTTTTTATGAACAGAGGTAGGTCATTCAAGGAATAAAACCAACCGCTAATAATAATGATACTTGCAATCCCAATTTTGCTTTTTTACTTTAAAAAAAAATTGATTCACAGGATATCATCATCATTAACAAGGCCAGTATTTATTGCCCATTCCTAATTGCCCTTGAGATGGTAATAAACTGCCTATTTGAACTGTAAATCATACGGTGAAAATATTCTGAGATGCTGGCCTTTTGTTTTGTAGGCTATTTGAGAGGGCAGTTAAGAATCACGTGTAGGTTAAGCTGGGTAAGAGCAACAGATTTCCTTTCCTCAAGGAAATTAGTGAACTACGTGGGCTTTTACAACCAATGTCATTGTCTCATGGTCAATATTACGGATACTAGCTTTTTATTGAGATTTTATCAGATTTAGTTCAAGGTGCAATGTGGCTGATGTGAAAGCATTAGCAAACTCCTGCAAACACGACAGTCTGCACTGACAAACTGTTCCCGAGATAACAGCTGTCAAAACTGCAGCTGTGACCAGGGATTATCTCACATTCATGAGAGGTTGTATCTAAATTCTAGTCTTTAATAACATGTAACTTGAAAAAGTAACAGACAATTACTGCAACCAAAGATCCCATTATCCAAACAGATACAATGATGAATCATCTGTTTTAGTGATGTTAATAAAGGATAAATGTTGGTTAGGACATGGGGCGAACAGCATTGGTTTAACATCTCATCTGAAACACAAGACAGCACTCCCTCAGTGTTCACGTCTCTGCAGTCCAGCTCAAAATTTACCTCAGCAGATTGTAGCAAGTGCTTGCAACGGGATAGAGTTGATAACCTGAAGATCCCTTTATCTTTTCTAAATGGAATAATCATATTTTTAAAATAAATGATTAATGGATCCAAAGTAATTACAATTAGGCTGATATATTTAATTACTATGTGGAATAAGAAGCCACCCAGAGATCAACAAAAGAACATTAAGGCTAATTTGAAAAGAGCTCAGAAGCATTCATTGCAAAAGGGAACACTTAACAGCAGTAGAAGGAATATTAAAATGATACATAATGAGACAGAGATAAGGAATAAGCATATGTCTAGCAATGATAGTTTCAAAGATAGATCCTTAGGATACGGGAGTCGTTAACTGAAATTTTACCAGCTTAGGACAATTACAAGAACTAGAATGCTTTAATCATGAAATGTATCTCCATGACAAAAAAATTCCTAAACTAGGTCTTAACCACTGGATTACAATCAAATATTGCATTAGCAAGTTATACAACCTGTCATTCATAAAACAAATTATACTATTCCTGATTTTCCATAACTAGACAACCACTTGTCAAATTCTATTTTTTTTAAATAAACACTTAAGCAGCTCTCTCATAAGTTTTTATTGGAAACTTCAAATGATTTTCCTTTCTACAGTTCCTTTTCTCAATTCCCTCTCACACCAACTGACCTTCAATTTCTCTCATCAACTTGCCAAGCAGTCACAACTCTGCAAAATTCTCAGGTGTCATTTTTACTTTGTCCTTTCAGCTCCCTCACTCCTGTCTCTAGTCAAATTAGCTCTTCCCTTTTCAGTCATGAGGATGGAACAGATTTTTCTGCAACTACCAATATTTCGAATTTGACATTTTGGAGAGGGATGAGGGAAAAAGGAAAGATTTCAGATCAAAATGCCTCTTAGTATTCCACTTAGAGGTTTCAACAAGAATTGGATGATCAACTCAATGCGGACAAATTCAAATTTAATTTTGAGTGGAGATTCAAAACTTCCTCACTGCTGTTTACAGTATTCAATTGTAGTTTAAAATCTTCCCTCCTGTCAAAACTGTGACTGTGCAACAGTATTGCATTGAGACTAATACTCAACATGGTGACTGAAAATGTTTCTAGCTACTTCAAGAGTAACAGGTCAAGAGTTACTAAGTTTCAATAGAACTAAGTGGGGACAGGTGGGACAAGGCTCATTTCTGGAGCATTAACACTAGCATCAACTAACCGGATACAATGGCATATTGCGCGTGCACAGTTTATATAATTCCCAAGGTGTCAATGCACAAAACCACGAGATACTCTATATAGTTCTTAACATCAGTGAGTTGATCATCCAAGGTGTTGTGCACCGAGTGTGGAGAACAAGTGCAGTCTTCAGGTGAAGCAGAGTTACAGGAAACTTCAATTTTAAGTTATATACATTGTATTTAACTTTATATTTCTGTTATCTGTTCAATCCAACATAATAGGACACTGAAATAGAGAGAGCAGACTAGAAATCTGGGAGTTAATAATGCTTGGAATGTAATGCCAGGATTGCATTGCTTCCAATATTCTATATAGGTAACGCCATCAGAGTTTGCTGGGACCCTTTAAATGGTTCACTACAGTTGCAAATCTGGCAGCCACCTGTCCCAATGGAACTAGACACCCAGCAATCCAGGGCCACCCTTCCTGACCTAGGTCACACTGAACTATTCAACACAGAATCTTATGTTTCTGCACTGATGTGGCTGATTTCCCAGTGAAGCCTATGTTTGTCCCCCTTTATTACCTAATTTATTGACAGATTAGGGGGTACCACTGGTAAGCCCGTTTTTAATATCAATTCTCAACCATCTTAAGAATGCAAAGATGAATTACCATCTGGAATACAACTGAGTGGCTTGTGAGCCATTTCAGAGGGCAGTTTTGAACCATTCACATGGATCTGGAGTGTATTAATGAATTAGGGAGTTTTGGTATTGTACAATCGAGTAGGTCATGGCCTTCATTACTGAAATTAGTTTTTATTCCGTTTACTCCAGCTTCCATAGTGGGATTTGAATGGGTGTCTCTGGAACATTCAGCCAGATGTCTGCATCACTATTCCAGGAATACAACCACCATGCTGTTATACCTCTCATTGGAGCTGGATGACATTGTTAAATTCAGCCAATTTGTTGGCCTCCACAGAAAAATTGGGTTCTGACTTAGCAAACAGAGCACAAACCCCTGTTAACATTTCCCTTGGTAACATGCGAGACTTCACCTTTTAATGGGCAAGTCATAAACATCTACTGTCCTTTTCATTTTCCAAGGCTCAGGGGATACATCTAGTCTCTGTCAGAATTAAGATGCACATCAATAAATCCTGGGTTCTTGTTTCTGAACTCTTATGTGTGTTGGAAAGATGCAAAGTTACAATGGTTTGTAATTATAAAGCACCTTTAACATAAGCTCTTCACAAGAGTGATTTGCACTGATGCAAAGAGGGGGACATTAGGAAAGATGACCAAAAACTTAATCAAAGTAGTAGAATTTAAAGGAGCATCTTAAAGCTGCAAGGTGGCAAAGTCGCAGGAGAGAATTCCATTGCTTAAAACAGAAATTGGCAGGGCCACCAACGAAGTATGTTATGTAAAAGTAGCCAGAGTTGGAGGAAAAACAGGTTGCTGGAGGTTACAAAGATGGGAAGGAGTCAGTCACGGAGGGATTTAAACATCATAAAGGTTTAAAAAAAAAAAAAAAATGGAGGAACTACTGGAATGTAAGCCCATGCTAATCAATGGGCAGGAAGGTGAAGTGCAAACTTAATTTTCCTGTATGTCATGCTGGTCTCTGCATAGGCATGAATCAAGTTGTTCTATTCCCTTTGGGAAGATGACTCAACTGCTCATGGTGTTTGATAGCATTGGTTTAGGTGTCAAGGCGATTTTTCATTTACATCCAGTTAGGATTCTAGTTCTCTTGGTATAGCTTGGGATGCCAATAATTTGATTGGGTCATCATTCATGACAATACATCAACAGTGTCAGAATGATAAATGAACAAGGAATCAAGAATTGAACAATACAGTGAGTTTTAAATGGTGTCCAAATGCAGGCCAAGATTCAATGATGCACCTGTCCCATAAGAATACATTGTTCAACAAGTAACTTTCAAAACTAATTTGAACTGTACCCATTTGCCTGAACTCCAAAATATTACATATGGTCCAAACTTTTTTAAATATACAATTCACAAAAATACACTATTTAATAAATGGAACATTGCTAATTAAAAACAGTTGAATTTAATTCAGATGTTATTTTGATTGGTATTTTTATATCACCCTTCACAGAGGGAAACTGCATTTGTTCAGTTCTCTGACTTAGTTATATTTCCACCCGTACCATCCAGGTATGGTTACAAAGTTTGCATAAATATGCCCCCTAAATTTATGAAAGGCTTTTACAAGTCTAACAAACATACCATAAAATCTAAATTATTAAAGAAATAATCGATTGCCTCAGTTACATACACGTTTCAATACAAGTCTCATCCAAACCAAAAAGTTCATGCAAACACTAGAGAATCTGTGGTCTTCACGGCAGATTAGTTACAATACGGCGGTCTCTTTCTAATTACCATTTCTTTTGTAGTCCAAAAATCCAAGAAAAACATTAAAACAATTTTCTGTTTCACATTACCAAGAAATTAGTTTGTATGTAAACACTCAGAATGCGGCTCTATTTACAAAGTGGTCCTCAGCATCAGTCCAAACCCAAAGATGCAGGATCCGATTACCTCAGGGCTTTTCCTGGACACTTGAATCAAATGTAGGCTGCTTGAAAAGAACCTTGTATGCATGATAAATACAAAAAGGCTCAACTCCATGACCCAAATAGTTCACTGTGATGCAGAGCCTTTTAAAAGGTCAGATCTCCGAGCTCAGGGTCCCAGTGTAATATAGTCTTGTGTTTGTCAGCCAATTTTTAGACAAAAGTACAAATTGGGCAACACCAAAAGTCAAACAAGGGATTTCTCAAGCTCTCTCTCTCTCTCCTCTGCCCCTGTGGGGAAGTGACTGGGAATGAGGGCAGAATGAGATAAAGGATCATTTCAAGGATTCAAACAACAAATAAAATCCAATTATTCTTGGTCATATGTAGTTCCAAAGGGACACAAAATAAAACACAGAAAACAAAGTCTATGTCTCAAATACAATTATCTTATGTTTGCACTAACAGAGCAAAAGGGGTCCAGCCAGAATATTTTTCTTCCATTTTCTCTTAATTTCTTGTAATATCTGCACTTGAAAGGATAATAGACCTTTAGAATTTTTTGGAGTTGCGCACTTAAATTTTCTTACCATTTAGTAACTAAAGTAGTAAACTAATTAGACTGCATCAAAATGGCAATCTTTTGTCAATATGCTCACATGTGGGATTTGAAAGTAACAATGGTTGAATAGAACACAGACAATACATTTAGCAACAGATAATGCTGCATCTAGTACAACGTTCCACTGAAAGCATTTCAAATACATTTTCACTATGCTATACTTTATCAAAGTGGAATCTTTTGTGCAGACTTTCTGCACACAGGTACAAAACATAGTGCTGTCAATAAATACCTGTGTGTATAAAGTGCTGCAAATAAATTTAAATTTGTCATTCAATATACAATATCCAGGCACCAAGCCTGCCCTCCTTCTCAGCCCCACCCCCAGCTACAAAGAAAATTTACAGACAGACCAAATCTATGGAATAAAAATGAACACCAGCAACAGAGATGTAAAACTGGCCGAGTGACAGCAGATAGTGTAGTTGTTAATGGATGTTTTTTGGACCGGAGGAAGTTTGGTAACCAAGCTTCCCCGGTGTCACTGTTCAAACACTTGCTCTTTTGGAAATACTGTGTACAATTCTGGTCGCCCTTGTATAGTTATAAAACTCGAGGGTGCAGAAAAGATTTTCAAGGATGTTTCCAGGACTGGAGGGTTTGAAATATAGGGAGAGGCTGAATAGACTGAGGCTTTTTTCCCCCTGGAGCGTAGGAGGCTGAGGAGTGACCTTATAGAGGTTTATAAAATCATGACGGGCAGGGATAGGGTGAATAGGCAAGGTCTTTTTCCTAGGTTGGGGCAGTCAAAAACTAGAGAGGGCATAGGTCAAAGGTGAGAGGGGAAAAATTTAAAAAGGATCCGAGAGCTAACTTTTTCATGCAGAGGGTGGTGTTTGCAATGGAATGAGGTGCCAGAGGAAATGGTGGAGGCTGGTATAACTACAACATTTAAGAAGGCATCTGGATACGTAAGTGATTAGCAAGGGTTTAGAGGGATATGGGCCATATGCTGGCATATGGGACGAGGTCAGAATGGGATGGCTGACAAGTTGGACCAAAAGGTCTGCTTCCGCGCTGTACGATTCTATTACGTCAATGAACTTGACTTCAGGGCAACATTTCAAAATTTGTAGATGACATAATTTGGAAGCGTTGCAAGCTGTGAGGAGCAAAATCAGAGACAAATTGATGGAATGGCCAGAGAAATGGCAAACAAAGTTCAATGAAGTCAACTCTGAAGTGATACATTTGCTAGGAAGAACACAGACAGAATACCAAAAACGAAATACAGTTCTAAAAGAGTGCAGGATTGGGGGACCAGGGTTATTTTGTGCACAAGTCATGCAGGACAGACCCACAACAGTGGATAAAGCATATAGTATTATAGGCTCTACTAACAAGGGCATAGATAGCAACAGCAAGGAGATCATGTTAAACTTGTATAAAACACTGGTTAGCCTCAACAATGGAGTCCATTGTTGCACTCCATCTATTTGTGAAGAAACTGAAGAGAAATTCCCAAGGATGGTTCCAGGAACAAGGAATTCAATTACATAGATCGAAATAAGAAGTTGGCATGGATATCAATGGAGAAGAGAAGGAAGAGAGACATCCAAAATCATGTGGACTCTGGATAGAGAAGATTGATAAGGAAGAAACTTTCCCATTGGTGGAAAGATCAAGAATGAGAGGGTACAGATTTGAGTTAATTTCCAAAAAAAATGGAGATATTAGGAGAACTTCTTTCTGCAGTGAGTGGTTTAGATCTGAATGCTCTGCCTCAGTGTGGAGGAGTCAGGTTCAATCAAGGAATGTGAAAGAGAATTGAATCATTATTTGAAAAGGGAGAATGTGCAGGTTACAGGGAGAAAGTAGGGGCAAGAGTGTTAGGTGAATTGCTCATGAGAAGAGCTGAAGAAGACACAGTGGACAGAATGGCCTCTTGTACTGTTAAATTCTGTGTTACTTGCATCATCTGTTGCTTTAATGGTTCTTTCAACTTAATTTTGATTCCATGCACAGAATTTTAATTGGCACTCTGATAACAGCTTGTTAAATATTGTTTCATCTAAAGTATTCAAACTGTGAATGTTTCAATTGTTCCCCGCCTTTAATTCACTGCCCACCTACAAGTTTACTGGATAAAGAGCTTAGGTCTGATAAGATTTATACCCAAGCTGTTCATAACTTGCCTTTTAGAGTTTTCATCAATAGTGAACATTTCCACAGGTAGGATTCACCGATTACTGTGAAAAACTTCAAGTAAGTGGCTTAAGTCTGTTTCCATTCTTTGATTTGATTATTCTTCTGTGGTTTCAACTGGGGTTTTCACAATGAAATCGAGTTCAAATGCACATGAAAGTCCTGATCAACTGAAATTGTAAAATCCCCAGCAATTACAAGGCATTTTTAAGACAACTCTTGTGATGCTACTTAAATAGTATTATGTCTTGAAATAACAAAAATTCTATATACAGAAAAATGTCAAGAAGTGGTAACCAGTCTCCCAATAGTCAATAGGCCTATTCTTTACTTGGTCACTAGTCAGCTTAACTGTTGCAAAAAAATGTAGTGAACCATTAAACATTTTTGGAAACATTTTGAGGAACATAAAATTGATGATAGTATCACTGAAACGCAACCCATGAAAACAAAGTGAGCATCCCCATTAAATCTTTTGATTGCTTTGCTGTTCCAGAATTCCCAGGTCAAGTCTTTCGAACCTTGCAAGACCTTTGCTACTATTAATGCTGAAAAGAAATAGGAGAAATAGAACAGGTTAACTTCTTTTCCCAATTCTATCCCAGCAGGGATAGTGACTGCAAAAAGACATACCAACATCGATCTAGAAACAGCCAATGTGTAAGCAAGTAAAAAATAAAAATATGGACAAGAGCTAAATGGTCAAATAAAGACTTGAAAAGTAGAGAACCACACACAGTGCAAATATTTTGCTTGTTCCTTCAGCATGTGTGTAGTATTAGTATAGTCAGTTAAACCATGCACAGCCCAGTTACAGGTATTTTGTTTGAAGTACTTCCAAGTAATCAGGCTCATTCGGTTAGTATGAAGAAGGATGGTTTTCTGTAAACGATGTTATCTTTGAAGCCATTACCCCAGAGAAAGAAAACTCCGAAAGGCAAAGAAGCTTGGGAGCATTAGCATTACTGTTACATTGTCTCCAAGGGTTAAGTTTGAAGATTTAATGATGGAAATGATTGCCAAAGTTGTTGCATCACAGGGGAGAAAAATTGGACGCATGCAAGGCAGACCCAAATTTTGCATCAACAGCTACAACCTGAAAGAAAGGAAAGAAAAGGAGAATTGAAAGTTAATTGGTTAAAATGAAAGAAACCAACCATGCATGGGGCTAAGTACAAATCAAGCTTTTAGTATTACATTCTTTTCATTAGTACAAGCAATAGAGTAGTGGAGAACAAGTGCTAATTTCTGAATGTAAAACCAGCTCTCGTGCCTACTGTTTAAAATCCTATGCCAAATATACCTGAAATTGGAGAACTTCAACTTTAGGGTCAAACCATAAAGCATGCTCACAAATAGGAAATGTCTATTAGGTTGAACATACTATCCCATTTTCTGCACATCTATGGTGTCAGTGAGTACAGTTAATTGAGTCATGAGGATTACGTTTACAAATACTCTATCATTTATTGTTACAATTGAAGAAAAACAACTTTCATTTAATCAGAGTTTCTCATGACCAGCAGACATCTCAAAGCATTTTACAACCAAAGTATTCTCTGAAGTGTAGTCATTGTTGCAAATGTAAGAAACAGTAATGTTAGTGTTTGCTGTTTTTGGACTAAGATCTGATTAAATTAAATCTGAAAGCACATTGTTGATAGACTTTACAGATAGACTTGTAACTTTGAATGTTAAACAAGCCATGTGCAATTCTTTGGGCACTGGTGCTATATAAGTGGCCTCAAGGGTAAGTATGGAAACTTTTTAATATATGTATAGGTCTGCTGTAAGTTCATATTCAGATTAGTGAATGGCAATAGCTGTTCAATTGGAGCAATATGGCATAGAGGATATCAACGTAAAGGAAAGGCTGAAGAAACAAAAGATGGAAACTGATTCAGGCATTATAGGGGAATGATAGATTTACAACATATCGCAGTTCTGGCCATGACATATAAAATATTGTGACATAACACATTTTTATGTCCAATCATGAGAGAAAGTAGTTGCTCTAATGGGTTCTTACTGTTCAACAAAGCTGGATCATCCAAATATGACGAGTGTAAAATTTTGACAGATATTTCAGCTGTGATATATAAAACTATAAGCAACTTGCAACTGTTTTAAATTCATTCTTGGAATGTGGGCATCACTGGTTCAGCAAGCATTTATTGCCAAGAGGGCAGTTAAGAGTCAATCATACTGCTGTGAGTCTAGAGTCACATGTAGGCCAGACCAGATAAGGATGACAGATCTCATTCCCTAATGGACATCAGTGAACCAGATGGGAGTTTCACACTAATCAAAGTGGTTATATGGTCACCATTAGAGTAGATTAGATTAGAATTCTGTAGAAGAGTCACTGGGATTCAAAACGTTAACTCTGCTTTCTTCCACAAATGCTACCAGACCTGTTGTTTTTGCACAGTTAGACTAGTGTTTTTTTAAACTCAAGAATTTTATTGAATTAAAATTTCATCATTCGCCATGATATTCAAACCCATGTCCCCAGAACGGACAATCTGGATCTCTAGTCTAGAGATGTTATCACTACAAAAATGTTTGGTAGTACCCTACAAGTAGAGTTTAAAAAGAAACAGCAGATTGAAAAATGGAAAATTTAATTTTAGTACCTAGTCACTGTACATTTACTGCTTCTCTAAAGCCTTTTTATTGTAACCAATATAGATATAATACAGACAATGTGTTCATCTAAAACCATAAGGAATAGATTAGATATGCTAAAATTACATAAAAGTTTGAAGGTGGGAAGGAAGTTAGTATATCTAAAATTGAAAGCAATTACTCACTACTTGCTGTGGTGTCTTTTTTTTCAGAATGACAACCTAAATAAGATACAGTACATTGTTTAGAATGAAGAGGCAAATCTTCAAACCCAAATATAATAGTAATACATTTTGCAATTTTCGTTAATCGCAGCTTATTACAGGTATCAGTCATGTCAGTTTTCAACTAACAAATTGGCTATAGTTCTTATTTCCTTAGCTCCAAAATTTTGATCAGCATATATTAGAATCGATTTTAAAACCATTATTATTGCATTAAACTCTTCATAGTTAGTGGATTAACAGCTTTGTTGAACAGCAAGTTATTTTCTTATTTTTGTACATTCAGTGGAAAATATTTTAAAGCTTACTGTCCACTAAACAGAAAACAAACAAGGAATGTATTTTACATCACACTTTAAAATGTTGTTTGAGAACATTTTTTTGAAAAGTCAAAATAACTCCGTTCATTCCTTCACATTATAAAATCTCAACAACCTGCATTTACTCTGCCTCTAATCCTCATAAATAAAACCTCAGAACAGAAATGTCCTTGCAATAAAGTATGTCCTTTATGTAGCCATTCAATTAAGCAAATAATAAATCAATAGGTTTCCCACTAACAAACACAACCTGTTGGGAACTGTGAAAAAGATTTTTAATTGAATTTCATAACTGGCAACTTCTGACAGTGACTTCAATGTTTCAAAATACTGAAACAAAAATGATAATTTCTTATGCTGCAATGTTCAAGAGAACACAGAATCAGAGAAGAGTGCACAATTATGTAACAAGTTGCTGTGTGCTATGGGATTTATATATTCCTGTGAACACTTTCACCCGTCCTTTGAATCTATCCATTCTAAACGTTCCTAAGTTTGGAGACTTGCACCATGCCTTATTCTAGTTGCACTTTACAATCAACACTGACAGGGCAGCTGTCCAAAATGTGTCCTGGCTAATGCTCCCTTCAATTTTTCCTCCCTCATTGCAGGGAAGCACCTAACAATTCTTCAGAGCTCCACCTGCCACATGGATACTTGATGTGCCTTGTCTTTTAGATACAAACTTAGAAACACACGAGCATAGAACAGAAGTAGGCCATTCAGCTGCTCTGCTAACCAACACTATCATGGCTGATCCAATCAAGTGCACATTCCAGTCTATCCCGAATAACTTTTCACCCCCTTGCTCAACAAAGCTCTACGCATCAGCTTTAAAAATTTACCTTCTATTCCACCAACTTTTCAGGAAGGTTGTGTCTGCTGACACATTAAAGCACATTGTTTAAATAGCGATAAAAAGCTAGCAAACACATCCTTGTAGAAAGAATTGAATGAAAGAACATATTGGTAAATGTAAAAAAAAGGTAGGTAAAGTAGATTTAACTTTTTTTTAAAAATCAGCTTTTTTCTTTATTTACACATATGCAGAAAATGAGAAAACTCAGAGGTGAACATGGGCAGTTCGCAATTAATCGGTGGATTGTTGGTGTCAAACAACTTCGTTCCAGGAAGAGTTCCAAAGACTCAAAAACTTCCATCCAAACATACTATATAGTTCACTACACTGTAGGCTCCATTCTGCTACACAGGGACAAAGGTTGGTCATACAGCCTTGAGTCTGATTTTTCATTTAATTAGCTTATGGCTGACCAGAATCTTAACAGCATCAACTTGGTTCTATAGTTCTAAAACCATTCTCTAATAAGACACACAAATCACAATTCTGAAATTTCCATATTATTGAGCCTCAGCAGCTCCTTGGGTAGATTTCTACGTCCCATTGTGTGAAGAAGTTCTCCCTGATACCACTTTTGAATGGACTACCTCCATGCCTCAGTTCCAAACTCCCCCAAAGGAAATAGCTTCTGTTTACCACAACAGCTCCGTTAATCATCTTGAATATCTCAACCAAACCACTTCCAACTTCAATTTCAAAGATACAAGCCTAGTCTTTGCAATCTCCCTCATAATTTAACCTTTTCAGTCCTAATATCATTCAGACCCACTTCAAGGACAGTATATCCTTTGAGATGTGATGATCAGAACTGAACTCAGTACACTAGATGGCATCTGATCAGAGCTTAATGTAACCTAACATGACTTGCATCATTGCTTTCCAATGCCTTGACATAATAGCCAACAATCCATCAGAATTTAATATTACGTTTGTGCCTTACACCAGCGTAACATCTAAAAATAACAATTGAAATCTCTCTTAGATCAGTTTACCATCACTTGTTTAGCTCCACTATTAACAGCAAAACTTTTCTGAATTACCCCAAAACCTAAAGAACGGAAAATCAGTACAACCTTTTAGGAAGGGCTTCCACTGCTAATGTTTGGTACAGTGATGTCAAAGCACTTTATATATTGCTATTACCAGAAAAATGACACTGATCAAATGGAAGACTATTTTATTAGAAATAGAAATACTACAGACAAACGGAAGGTACATTAGATTCCAATTTAGCCTGTCAAATGTCTTGTTGAAGATCACAAAGCAGGATGATGATGCAAGGCTTGATGGAGAGAATAAGGGTGCCAATAACTTGGAGGACGTGATTCATGTACAAAGATTTTTAAATTCCCAAAAACATTAAAAATATAAAGAAAGCAGGGATATAAAGGTTCAACAGTGTTCAAAGTTTAAATACAAGAGAATGATGAGGCATTCAAATAAAAGGTCAGATGCAGTAGGGTAATACAGGTTAGAAGTCCCAGAATATGGATGTCCAGGGAATTACAAGAGGATACCACAGTGTTCACACAAGAACGAGAAGATAGATGGAGAAAGATGAAGAACAGACCCAAAAGAAGAAAAGAAAATAATTGTTAGTGCTTTTCTTAGTCGTGATAAGAAAATACAGTTTAAAAAGTAAATGAGTTTTAAAAATGGTCAACTTCCTTTTCCGTTCAAAGGTTTAAGTTGTACATTCCCAAGAGTGCAAATATAATGTGATGTCAGCTCTCAAGCAGAACCAAGTTGGTGGAAGCTTTGTCACCTACTTTAGCACAAAGTGTGGTAAAGCAAATGTTTAGAAAAAAAAAACACTCAAAGTGATTCCTTTTGGGTAGAAAGCACAATGCTGAACTTTTCCAATTAAGCTAGTACTCCCATGAAAAACAGGCAGATGCCATTAAGCATAAAAATTGGTTCCAACACTGTATTTAGGGTTCCCGATACGACCACAGTCTCCTAGATGGAGAGTGTATCCATTTGTGGAATCAGAGCAGAAGTTCTCAAAAGGAACTATAGGCCAACCCAAAAAATTTAAAACCTAATTTACCAACAATTATTGCGAGGGTTTGTCTGAAGTTCTCGGGTTCAAAGATCACAACTGCTGCTGAGCCTTCCATGTGCATTCTCTACAATCCCATGTCCCATATGGCTACACAGGGGGACCACCAGATTTTCCATGCCCTCCAATGATGAGCTGCAGGTCAGTGCTCATTTAGCACAAGCAACTGGTCTACACTATTGTAATGAGATTAGATAATGTGTTTTGGGGCTTATACCGATGCCAATGGTAAGGCATCCCCATCACTCTGCCTGCTGCCCACTCAAAAAAAAACGATCTCAGTGTTTCCTGCAACTAGTGAAATATCAAAGAACTGTGAAGAAAAATATTTTGTTCAAACACCACACAAGGAAACTTCCTACAATAAACATTGATTGGGAATTGATTCTTTTTGTTGCAACTGAAGCATTAATAGTATGAAAAGGACTCCATAAAGTCTAAGTTTCCACTTAAACTTAAAATGCCAGGACAGAAGATAGCTAAATTTTAATTCACCACTCAGTTAGTTGTCCCAGCTGGACTGTTAGTACATTGTCAAAAGCTGTGGGATTTTGTTTGGGAAGAGAAAAATAGTTACAGAAGAAGATCACTGAGCCCCTCTCTCAGACTCCCCAGTAAATGTATACAGCGCAGGGTTGGTAGATGCCTGCCCATTTTTGAGCTTGTAACTTTGCCTGAAACAGAAAGAAAATTCTGAGCAAAAAAAAATTTAAAAACTAAAATGCTGTGATTAAGAAACTCAATTCACTAGTAAACAGGTGAGTGGGGCAAAGTTACAAAATTCAACCTGAACCTCTGCAGTTTAAGTTTCACCAAAGAAATCAGAATGTATGCCAGGTGTGGAAGGACTAAAAACCAGACGAGGAGAAAACAGATTAATTCTGTCTCCCAATTTCTCAGTCTCTTTTGCAACCATTTAAATGATACAATCTTCCAGACTAGTGCTTCCAATGTAGCTTTCTCCTTCCTAAACCAAATATGCACCTTTCTATCATTTACAAGGCCCTCAATTCTGCATGCCATTTCATCCTATTTCCTTCCAGAAACATGATTGGTCTTTCCTTGTCCTCACGTTCTGCTCAGCAGTCTATGTATGCGATGCAGCAGGTTCTGTCAGTGTGATGCCAGCAAACATACCTTCACCTCCTCTCTCAGCAATTCCCAAGTGGCTGTGCCCCACGCAACATCCTGATTCATTTCGGTCATCCCCAATATTCCCTCCCCTTCCCCTGGTACTTTTCAATTCAGTCACGGGAAATGTAACTGACACCTACTCTTACCTCATCCCTCATCACCATCCAGGGCTCAAGCACTCCTTTCAAATGGAACAATAATTTACCTTGTGCTTACTTCAATTTAGTACACGATGTTCGTTACCTACAATGTGGTCTTGTTTACATGCCAAGCACAATCTGGATGACTACTTTGTGGACCACATGCATAACCCCACACTTCCAGTCACATATCATGTTATTTCTCCACCTTGTTTCCACTCTGGCCATTCTATCTTTGACCTATCAGAATGGCTGAAAGAAGCTCAACAAAAGCTCAAGGAATATGGCACTTTCATATGGACACTCTACAGACTTGTTCATTCTGAATTCAACAGTTTTAGTTTGTAACCAATGGCCCCATTTTGTTTGCTGGTTTAGATTTTTCTGAAGAAGGGTCCCGACTTGAAACATCAGCTTTCCTGCTCCTCTGTTGCTGCCTACCTGCTGTGTTCCTCCAGCTCCACACGGTGTTATCTCTGACTCCAACATCGGCAGTTCTTACTATCTCCTTGGATTTTTGCTCGTTTTTCTCTCAGTTTCTTTACTTTGCTTTCAGATCAGTTATTCAGTATCTTGACATTCACACCTTCGCTAGACATGCTATTTATTCACTTATGCCATTACCCCATCTTTTGGCCTTGCACCATGACCTCTGTTTCACAGACCTACACTTTTGTTTGTTTTCCCACCTTTCTGAGAGCCCTTCCCTTGCTTGAAAGCCATTACATTTTTAATGAATAAGTCAGAGAGCTGAAACTCTGTTAATTCTGTTTCTCTCTGACAGTCAGCAGCATTTTCTGTTTCTTTATGCCAGTAAGCACGGGCACATCCCAACAACTAACAATGGTGCTGGACTGGAAGAAAACTGAACATTAGCCAAGCAGACTGAAGCACTACAATGTCAGGTACAAAACAGAAAGTGAGGAGATACTAACTCTGCAGATTTCCAGAAGTGACCTGGATGAGAAAGTCGCCTGTTGAGTTTTGGCAGTTTTTCAAGCATGTCCATCAGCTGAGTAAAAGTTGGCCTTTCATTTTGATCATAAGACCAACATGCAGATAGAATTTCCTACAGAGCAAGCAGAAAAAATTGTCAGTGTTTCAGTTTCTCCTTTATTGCTGTGAAACTTTGTCAGTAGGTTTGGCTTGGTCCATGAAGAACCTGACCGTGAACACCATTAAGTGCTGGTGTCAACGTACTTTGTTTCTACTCTCAGGTTTTGACCAGTTCAATGGACTTGTACTGTACTGCCTCAGTATTCACATGTGTCATAAAATCATCTTAAATATCAGATTAACTATTTAATGCACTTGTTTCTGATTTGTGAAAGCATGTGTATTTCTCTCCTACTTCCCTTTGTTCTATTCTTTTAATTGTTATTTGTCTGTATTCTTTTAATTTTAACCAGTAAGGGGAATTTCTGATTCTTGCACAAATGCTGACTAAATTACTAAACATTTTGAGCATTTTCTGTTTTAACTTGTAATAAGCTATTGATGATTCAAAGATGATGTTTGTCATGGAGACTAATTTTAGTACTTCGACTCAGTGATCAGCTAACTACACAGTGTAGGAATTGAACCTTGGATCCACTGCTCTATGTGGGTTACTGATTTACTCGTGAAGTCCTTGGGGGAAGCTTAACCATTAGTCATACATGGAAATTATGATATAATTGCAATTTTAACAATTCCAGTAGGGGAATGTAGCAACTCCAAAACAGATGTTCAAATACATTTAACCAAATTTCCCTTTAAACATATTTCTTCAAATGAAATGAGTTACGTGATTTTAAAATGATTTTAATACTTGAAGACATTTTTTTCAAAAATTTAAAAGTCAGAGAACCTGATGACTTTGTAGAAACTCAACGTAACCCTCAAACAAAACAACAGCTGTTCTGCAGTAAGTCTTACTTACCGTCACTTCCTTTCCCAAGGAAATCTGAGCTAGTAGATTTTGGACTCCTTCTCCACTACCAACTTGCCAGATTATTGCCTCTACAGGTTGGTTCTTAAATGGCCATTCTCTGGCCTGAAGTTCATACCAAATAGTCCTGCCAAAATTAGGAAATTAGTCAAAAATAAGCATTATAGGGAATGACAGACTTAAAAAAATTCCACAGCTCATACTGTACCAACACTATACAGCATAATACAGCATACTTAAACATTCAGTTAACTAGCTTACTTTAGAATGTACCCCAAATGACATGCCTGTGGGGCACTGCATTTCAGACAATTAACTTTTCCCACAGAAATCCTTAGAATCAAACTTAAATGAAAAGTCATTCACTTTCTAAGAAATATTAGCTACATTATATGGGCATAATAGCTCTTACCCAAATGCATATACATCTCCCGCCTTTGAAAATGGAAGTTTGTCTTCATCCTTGCCTGAATACATTTCTTGGACTATTTCAGGAGCTACATAGCACAACCATCCATTTGGCAGCTTCAACTCATTCTCTCTCCTGTAACAATTCCATTATAAAATTAGAAACCTATTTTAACATGATTGCCAAAATGGAAAACATTTGAAATATATCCAATTCACCCTCATTTGAAAGCACCAGTTCATGATGGGACACAATTTGCACTGACAAGTCTTTGATACCTTTTCGTGTGGATATTATATATGATAACATTTGACTATACGAACCATGACAGTCAAGCATCACCCCATCCATATCCCACATTTTAACAAAGATTTTGGAGCTGGACAATGCTTAGGAAAGACCTCTGCATAACTTACAATGAAGACTAGTGATCCAAAACTTAATTGTAATGATTTTTGCACTGATCGTGCACGGACTGGCAATGACTATACATACAAAAAAAAAGTAAGTTAATGAAATAAATAAACCTGTAGTTAACAATATATTTTGGACTCCTTCTCCACTACCAACTTGCCAGATTATTGCCTGTTCAGGTTGGTTCTTAAATGGCCATTCTCTGGCCTGAAGGTCATACCAAGTAGTCCTGCCAAAATTAGGAAATTATTCAAAAATAAGCATTATAGGAAAATTGCAGACTTTTTTAAAAATTCCAAAATATTAAAATTACATGCAGTGGTTATTTTTGTTTTAAAATTCATGGCAGGGGTATCGTTGGCAAGGCCAACATTTGATGCCTATCCCTAAAGGCCTTTGGGAAGATATGCCAAGAAAACTCCTTCAGCCACCTTGAACTGTCCCAGTCCGTGTAGGGAAAGATTTCTACTGACAGTGAAGGAGGAGCAATATGATTCCATATTAGGAACTTTCTTCACTGTAAACTTGCAGTTCCTTGTTCAGAAAGAACTGTGTGGAACAGAACTTCAGTAATACAGTAATCTTGCAATTCAGGAACGTTGCTATAGTCCCTCGGGGTTAACATTATTGCCTTCTTAATCACAATAGGCAAAACCACCCTCTGCTGACAGCAAATGGATGTGATCCATAGTCATCCTTCAATAATGACCAATGGTTTCAGTTGGCTGAAAGAAACCTTGCCACCCAGAGCCAATTAAAATAATGATCTCTTCAAAGTACCCTTGAAAAGAAAAGTTTACACTAAAATTTAGGAGTTAGATCAAGCTGAATCACAGAAACAATGAACACAATTTTCATTAATTAAGATTCCAACATTTCATCTGAAGTTGTATTTAAATTTTTTAACCATCAGAAAAACTTGGGAGAAAAAAAAATCTTTGAAAACGAACAGAACTACTGGCATGTGGTCCTCTGATGTTGTGGCAATTTTATCCTTTCCAACTTCAGTCCATCTGGAGTTACAATTGCAATCATGATAGAAAAATTACAATTTCTGAAAAACTCTGCTTGGGAAATCACCCAAAGCTGATGCTCCCAAATAACTACTTAAAGTGACCCCCACAGGTAAGGCACACGTGTTGGAATCAGGCAAGACCTGAATCACTGTTTTAATCATCCTGCAAGAACAGCCACTCACACTACTGATGCTCACTTGTGAATATTGGCATATAAATTAATGCTAGCAATATAGGTGATGAAATTCTCGTATAAAGAAGGAAAAGGAAAAGGAAAAGGGAAAAGAATTAGGAAACAAAATTTTAAGAAAATAAGCAAACTCTTTGCAAAACTGATGCTGACTATACATATTCAGATGTTCTTTCTCACCTGTCTTCTTGCACCACACCAGATATACCAAATAGTCCAAAGTCTGTAATTACAACTTTTCCATTGTCATAGAAGATATTCTTTGATTTCAGATCCTTGTGCACAATACCTCTTGCATGAAGGTACCCCATCCCCTACAGAATCAAGGAAAAATGTAATTGTACAGTAGGGGAATTAAAGTTAAAAGGGAAGAAATTATCTACATAAATAGTACAAATAAAAAAGATAAGAATAAAATAAATAAATAAGAATACAAATGTCTGGTAGAATTGTTAAATATCAACAGTGTGGGCGCAAGGGACAATCTGATGCATGGAACTCATTCTGTCCAATAAGCCTGCAGGGATGAGGAGCAGAGCATATGCTAGCATGTGTATAATAAAGAAAATGGCAATCAACTGAAAATGACGAACATAAAACATAAGAAGTGTGAAATATTTAAAGCTCATGCTTAAATGGAAAAATAACTCTTGCTTTAAAATAGCATGACAGTGTGTGTAGCTTTGCCTAGTCAACAAATTGAAAGCAAATTTGAGGAAAATATACATAGAACATAGAACAGTACAGGCCCTTCGGCCCACGATGTTGTGCCGACCTATTATCCTAATTTTATCCTATACAACAGAAGAGAAAAGAAAACTGACATGATACGCGGCATACAAACGCTGAAGCAGAATGAATTCAGACCCTGAAGGATAGGGTTAAGTTACTGTGGGTAGTTATACAAACTTAATCAGTATTTTAACCATTCCTTGACAAAATTCGGACATGTCCTTTTCTAAAGGTTACAAATGTTGTTCACAATTGCCAAACTGTTCTAGAACAGAAATTATGCCCACTGTTCTGTTAAAATTCCAATCCTAGTCTTTAGGTAAAGCTAATAAATTTTGCTACTTACTTTTATGATTTCCTGTGCAATTTGCCTCATCTTGTTAATATCCAGTGTGATTTTAGAATCTCTCACAAATGAGAACAGTGTTCGCCCTTTACAGAAACTAAAACAAAAGTATGTTTGATTATACACAGTAGCAGAAAATATTATGCAATTACTTAAATTTGAGAATTAGGCTTCTTGAAAAAGTATACTGAAACCAGGATACTGAAAAGCAGGTGAAGGGTCTAGGCCCGAAACGTCAGCTTTCCTGCTCCTCTGATGCCTCTTGGCCTGCTGTGTTCATCCAGCTCTATACCTTGTTGTCTCAGATTCTCCAGCATCTGCAGTTCCTACTATCTATGATTCAGTAATATTTTGATTTTGCCAATTATGGCTTGGATTTTTCATTGAACAAACAAAAGAAGGTGTGTTAAACATGCTAAATGGTCAGTTATGCTATCTACTACTACAGAGAGGAGGTATGCAATTGAGTAATTCTCCAATGACTTTAAATAATGCCTCTATGAGCAGCTAGAGGATATCCTAAAACACCACCCCATATGGAAAGAAACATTCTCTTCCTCAACAAAACAGGAAAAAGGAATTTCCCATCAAGGTGGAGCAGCACCAATTAAAGGCAGTGACATGTATGTGCATTACACCAATGTACCCTGCCACAAGAATATATTTTGCTCCATTTAATGAACCATTACTTTGGGAGAAAATAACCAGAAAATAAGTGCTATTTTACATGAATAATCCAAAACAATGTTGAAAGTCTTGTATGTTAATACCACAGCAAATTACAATACAAAATATAAAGAGATCATTCACATTTTATTTTACCTTGTAATAATGGCTAAGTGTGGAGGATGCATACAAGCTCCCATGAAAAGTACCACATTTTCATGCCTCGTTTGCCGGTAAGTCATCACTTCTTTCTTGAATAATTTCAGATGATCCTGATTATTCCCATCAATCTCCAACAACCTAATTGCCACTTCTCCATGCCAACGTCCTTTGTGAACTTTGCCCCATCGCCCTTTGCCAATCAGTTCGCCAACTTCCAATTCATGAAAAGGAATGTCCCATTCCTGAAGAAAGACACTTGTCTGGCTGGGCTTGCGAGCCATCAGGCCCCTGTAGTGTGATCTGGTATTTGGCAAGTCATCTAGTTCATCAGTCTCACATTCTGATTCTGATTTATTAACTTCCTCATCATCAAGTACATGGTCTTCATTCTGAAAGGAAATACAAAAGGAACAATTTTATTATGTGAAACATGTCTTGATCTTTAACAAATTATTGTCAAAGCACTTTTGGTACTCACGCCCCTCCACACCACAACTGACCATTGTGCAAAACAGGAACAACACAATTTCTGCCTCTTGCATCAGGTTTTCAATTACCATTATTATTAAATTTTATCCTTTCCAATTGCATTTGATCCATTTCAAGTTCTAAAATTAGAAGTTAGCTATTTGCAGTAAATTCCAATCTGAACAGAATTTGTTAGTTCAATTACATTTTCTGAGATATTCTTTCTGGCAGCACATGATGTACAAGGGAAACAGTTTGTGCTTCAGTCTGGGACAAAAATAAACCCATGCATAATATTTGCACCTTAGATAAATAAGGCTGTAAGCAGATGCATGACTACATTACATCCAAAAATAAGACCAGAGCTTCACATAACAAAACTTTAATGTTTATGCAAGTAACAATATTGCGGTGTTGTACTTATTTCTCGACAGCGTACCTCTGCATCCAGATCTTCAACTACTTCTGGTTCAGTTTCCTCAACAGTACTGCGGGAGAAAGAATACAACCTGTATTTGATTCCAGTATAATCAATCTAGCAATACAGGGGGGCGAAGATCTAACTCCAAATGAGAAAAACAAGCAGATCCAAATAAAAAATAACTTTGAGCGGGCATTTGAAACTGAACAGTCACACCACATTACGTAGCTAAAAATTATTACTATTACCGTGATTCAATATGCTTTGCAATAGCAGAATACCTTTCATTTCTAACCGGGTAAACAAGATGGAACCGTTCAGTTGTGCAACACACAGAAATGTGAATACTAAACAGGATGCTGAAAATCAGAAGCAAAAACAGAAATTGCTGGAAAATCTCAGCAGATCTGGCAGCACAGCTCTGAAGGAGGATCACTGGACCCCAAGATGTTAACTCTGCGTTCTCTCCACAGATGCTGCCAGGCCTACAGAGTTCTACCAGAAAATTCTGTTTGTTACAGAAATATGAATGTTAAGTGGCAATGTCGCCAGCTCCACAGGTCTGAAACTTCCCTATCTTTTTGATCCATGGCTATAATATCCATATTTAGCACATGGGCAGCAGTATGCAACACTACAATGTTTTGCTTACTCTACAGGGAGACTCAGCTTAGGATATTCGACCTTATAGAGGGAAAACTTACTGTAATTTACTGAATTAAGAAACAGTAAAAATGAAACATAACCTTGATCAGTTAAAAGCTGAAAACTAATACTACATCACATTACAGATCTGAACACTCATACCAGCAATTGGATAGCAAACACCTTGTTCTATCCAGAGTGGGGACAGAAATCATTGGCCCCAGTCCCACAGCACCCAACCCAAATTCAAAGGACATCCTAGAATCCCAGTTATTGGCCATTAGTGCATCTCAAACTAACAGAAAAATCTCAACTTGCTTTCATTGCCAGGCCATGATCAACATAAAAAAAAAACCAAACTGGGCAATAATGTCTAACTAGAGTCCAATATTGGATTGGAACAAAACAACAATGGGGTCGCAATAAAAGTAGGAACCTTGCATGTACAGTGCCTCCTTATAATAGGCCAATCATTTCAGAGAAGTGAAGGAGTGAAAAGGAAATGACAACAAAATTGCACTAGAACTGGACTTGATCTGAACAAAATTCTTATGGATTTTTACTTCACAACAAAAATGCATGCAATTCAATTGTAAACTTTTAAACTAGTAGTTTTTTTAAAAAAAAAAGTTATTTTCTGCTTTTCAGGGAAGCTCCTGTGAAGGCTTTGAAACAGCACGGCTGCATACAGCAATGCCTCGAAAAAAGGAAGGGTAGATATAATGAATGCGATTACCTTGGAGTGTAGAGTAACTGTTAGTCCAAGATCACAAGTGATGGGATTAAAAACTCGAAAGAGGTTACTTAGAGCTGAGTTCAGTGAAGCTCAGGTGAGTACGGTAGCTCCAGGAAGAAGCTACCTGCAGTTCCAGTCTAAAAGTTGAAGTTTTAAGTGACATAAACCTCCCAAGGTATTAGGTACAGGGACTCTTATGAGTAGTGTTTCAGGAACTACACCGAAAGTATATTTTGGCGACTATGCTCAAGTTGTTTTGCTTCTTTGCAAATTTTTTAAAAAGTGCGTTTTGAGATTAAGGGGATTATATTTTTATTGTGCATTTAAAAATCTTTGAATTTGTATTATGGGTAGATAGTTTAGATTATTATATTACATCATTGCACTTTTGGAATAAGCTTTCGATTTGTTGTTAAGGCAAAACATGCAGCATTGCATGCTTACGTTTCAGTGAGATATCACTTTAAGACCAAAACAGACAAAATGCAATCGAGCCAGGTTCCTGACTGAGATTGAATTTGTCTAGTAATAATATCAGATGGGATCAAAATCTAACTCCAGGTCTCTGCTAATTTGCATTCATCATTTGTTGTAGGAAAGCAAACAAATTGCTGGGGTGACCATTTTCAACTCTGCCACTTGAAACATGCCGTACAGGGAATAAGTGGCATAAACCTCTGGCATTTGCAGCATGGGAGGCAGCCATTTGGCCATCGTGTCCATGCTGGCTGATTACACTCATCCAATTTTCCACATTTGGCCCTGGAGGCTACAGCAACAAAGGTGAATATCTACAGCTGATCAAATGTTGAGTTTCTGACTCGACCACCCTTTCAGACCATAAGTTCCAGACTCCCACCATCCTCCGTGAAAAAAATTCTCAACTTTCCATCTCTTACCTTAAATCTATTTCCCATGGTTATTGACCCCTCTACTAATAGAAAACATGCCTTCCTATTCACCCCATTTATGCTCCTCATTATCGAATCCACCTCTCTCAGATACCATCTCAACCCTCACTGTTCCAAAGAAAATAACCCCAGCCTATCCAATCTTTCCTCCTAGGTCCGACCCTCCAGCCCAGGCATCATCCTGATAAATCTCCACATTTTCTTTTGCACATTCACACATCCTTCCTAGATCGTGGTGGCCAAAACTGCACTCATATGTGGCCTAAACAGCAGTTGTGTAGTTCCATAATAAACTCCTTGCTCTTGTATTTATGCCATGGCTAATATAGGCTAAAATCCCATGTGCCTCTTTGGCCTCCTTATCTACCTGTCCTGCCACCTTCAAGAATCTGTGGATATGCAAGCCAAGGTCCTTCTGATCTTCAGTTATTTTCCAGGTTTATATCATTAATACTGTAGTTCAGCGTATTATTCAAATATGTTTTGCCCTCAAGTGCATTACATCAAATTTTCAGATCTGAATTCCACATGCCACTGCCCCGCCCACCTGACCAGTCTGTCAATATCCTCCTGTAGTTCTTATCTATCCTCCCTGCCTTGTACCACTCTTCTAATTTTTGTGTCATCGGCAAACTTCATCATACTTTCTATATTCAAGTAAAAGTCACAAACTGCAAAGAACACCAGTAGCATGCTCCGGGGAATATCATTCAAAACATACTGCCAATCACAAAAGCACACCCCTCCCATCATCCTCTGTTTCCTGCCTCTCAGCCAATTTTACACCCAACATGCCATTTCGCTTTCCATCCATGGGCTCTTACTTTCTTGATCAGGCTGCCATGAGTGAGCTTACCAAAAGTCTTGCTAAAGTACATGCTGACAACATCAAATACTTTAGCCTCAGCAACAGTCCTGGTTACCGCCTCAAAAAGTTCAAACAAATTTGTCAAATATGACCTTGGTTTACGGAATCCATGCTGACTATCCCCAATTAATCAGTTTCTCTCCAAGTGCAGATATATTCTCTCAAAATTCTAAGAACTTCTTCACCTCCGAGTTTCAACTGAATGGCTAGTATTTTCTTGGTCTATACCTTCCTCCTTTTTTTTTAAAACAATGAGACAACAGTAGCAGTCCTCCAATTCTCTGGGCACCTCACCTACGGCCAGAGAAGATATGAAAATTACTGTCAGAGCTTCTGTATTTCCTCCCTTGCCTCTTTCAAGAATCTGGGGTACATCTCAGCCAGGCCTCCAGATTTATCCACCTGTAAGGCTGCTAGACCTGCTTGTCCCTCCTCCCTCTGTTACTTTCTTCTAATATTTCACCTTGATGTCTATCCTAGAATTATCCTTTATGATTGTGAAGATTGACACAAAGTAATCATTGAGGACAGTGCCCACGTCTTCTGGGTCCACACACACATTACCTCCACAGTCACTAAACAGATCTGCCTTTTGCCCTAGTTATTATCTTAAGAACATCCCTTGCCCTGCTTTCGCTGTGCACAGCATAGTTATCTATCAATGCATTAACTTTTGTATATTACTTTGCAGAATTAAAGGACAGAAAATAAAGCCTTACTTAGTGTCTTCAGAACTATCCGGCTGTAAAGTGACAGGCAGTGATGGACTAGGAACATCTAAATGACAAGAAGTTAAAACACCAGTCAGTAAAATAGGACATTTATCCCATTGTTCAGTTCCATACAGACAAAGCGACTAAAATAACAAAGTGAAAACAACTAACCTAAATACTAACAGTGCATTGTTATTACTACATCACACAAGTTAGTAGTGTTTTGAGGTTTTCTCCACCCTCAAGATACAAGTGTGAAGACTGAAGAAAAGGTGAAGGGAGAAATGATGTTAGTAGAAAAGACTAGGTTCATTACTCACCTGGGAAGATAAACTGTTGTCTATGATGAAAGTAGTACGCAGCTTGGGGAAAAGGTCACACAGGCAGAAGAATAGATTACAATCAATTAAGAAACCGCAGGATAGTAGCCAGCATTTAGTTTTCTTATTATATAGACTAATCATGCATTTTTACACTTAACCACTCTGAACAGAACACCTTTTTATTAAATAGCATGGAGATTGACGTGGGAAACAGAGAATGTCTATCAGCCTTGTGTTAATATTCCCATAATTTTTCAGGGCTTGGTGAGATTTCATTCTACCATCTATAGTTAATCTTTTTTCATATTAGTCTGCAAATTTAAAATTCTTCTAACTTGACTCTCCAAGGAAAGCAATAAACTTCTTACAACTACTAACTGTAAGGTTATATTAAAGTGCAAAGTCGTTGAAATGTTCTTTTTAAAACCTATAGCAAGTTGAAAGTGAAAGTTTCCCCATTTTATAGCATGCCAAGTCAGATTATGTTACAAATGAATTGGAACAACAGCTCCTGAAGCACATTAAGATTCCTATTCAGGACACTGCAATTTGAATACCAGTTAACCTAATGCAACCATTCCATCAACCCACTGCTGTCCAACTTGTTGGAAATCTGTTAGAGGAATCCTCTGACTATTGTCTGTGTGTGTCAGGTTGGGGGAAGAGGGGAACAGAGAGTGCCGAAAAGGAGAGAAACAAAAATTGAGTCATACGCACAGTAAATAAAAAACCTGTTGTCAGGCCATAAAATAAGCCCAAATCACCTTGGCATTTCAGTTGGAAGAAAATAATTTGGCTGTAGGCCAAGAAAGGAAAAAGAAAAGTAACATGTTCACTTGAATTCTTAAAACATTAAAGAGACATGTAATGATCTGGGGAAGCCTAAAATCAAAACTAGACCTAGCTTTTAATTATTAAAAATAAAAGCCTTAAAGAATGATTACATCTATCTGTAATGTTAATAACTAATTTTAACATGAATTTTACGATTCCTAGGTCATTATATGTTTGTTTTTAAATGTATCTCTGGACATGAAAGGAGAGCAAGAACATGAACCATTCTGCCAATGTAAGAGCTTCCATCACCATGGTCCACATTTTGCAGTCAGTGATACTACATGGAATTAGCCACTGATCTCGACTAAACCTATGCAAAGATTTAGTGACTCCATGGTGTGATCGCCCTCATTACAATATCAATTTCGTTCTGGCTTCAGTCACAAGAGACCTCCAGATTCCAGGAACAGTGTAATCAACCAAGTAAGCTGAGCAGTCAATCAGATGAAAGATTTCTGAGTCAATAAACCAGGAAGTAAGAAGCATTAATTGTCATTCAGTTTTAATAATTTTACAGATAGATTGGGATTTAGTAGAAACTTAATTATCAGATTTTTAAATAAAATCAAAAGAATTATCATCACTGAATGGAAGGAATGACACTTTAGACTTCCAAAATTAGCTTTTCGGGGCCAGAAAGGTTGTTCATGATTAACAAGTTTAGCATGCTGTTAAAAAATTCATGATATCTCACTTAACAAGATGCATCATTTTCAAATCATTTTTACAGCAAGTGTTGTGTTGAAAAGGTGACGTTCATGTCAACTAGCTAATTTATGCTCATTGTTCCTCCATGGCTATTGCAGCCTTCAAAAATACAATGTACCCCTGACTTCGGATTTCCACATTTAACTGTGCACATGGGATTTCAGAGGAACGAGAGACCCATGTAATAATGGTGAATGCTGACAGTGTCACTGACATCAAACTGCAGTATTTGGGCTCAGGGCCTTTCACCCATACTATTATATTTTAAGTCTTACCTGGAAATTTGAACCTGTCTCGGAGACCTTTTGGAGAAGGGTTTGGAGGTGGGGTAGCACTAGGAGGATTGGAAGACTGAAAAGGTGCTGGAGAAGAAGGAGTTGAAGATGTTGTTGAAGATGGGTTGCTGCTGGAATCCAAAGGAACTGGTGCATGATCCTACAAATAAAAATTGATATTTGAATTTAACCACAAGTACATTTACCGAGTTATAATGCAACCAGAAATTTTCAACACAGCTCAACATTTGAATTTTATTTCCATGCTACATTAACAGGTTCGTAATAACAATGCACAATTTAATATGGATGACAAAGCTAAATAATACAGATGTTCCGGGGAAAAAACAATTAATTTCAGTGTTCATGTACTGAATGTTAGTTTCAAATCATAGTCATCAATATGATGGGGACAGTTACAGATGTTGCCCTGATGTCTCAGTATAGAACACTTCTAAGGGTATGGCTTCATAATTCACTTGGCAACTGGTTTTCTTTCAAAAAAAAAAGAATCCTTCAGTTCAAAGTAGGGATTCAATCTCAGAGAAGGGAACATGAAAACATCTCTGATTTATATAAATCAGAGTGCAATGAACACATGGATTGCCAGGAAGTGAGCAGATAGTTCCAACAAATTCTAGAGGGAGGTGGATAAAGAAGCAATTGAATGTAGAAGCTTTGGGGCCAACCAGTTGTTGCACAGTAGTTGTCTTTTCGTGTGCTCATGTTAATATGAGCCAAATTTCGGATGGTAGCACTTCTGTATCAGGCAGACAATTGTGGATTAAAGGTGTTCAGAAGCACAAAAATCATGGCCAGCACTTAAAGTGCAGTACAGAGAGAGTGCTGCAGTAGGTACTGTACTCTTGGTACTACACCATCAGAGTTGTCATCTTTCAGATGATTCTTTAAATTGAGGTCCCATATAAAAAAAGTCCCACGTCATTATTTCAGAGGGTCCAGGGGAGTCAGTCCAGGCGTCCCAGCCAATATTTATCCCTCAAAGAAACATCACACAACCAGATTATATGGTCATGAGCACAATGATGTGTAGGGAAACTTCTTGGGTGGAAAATAGCTGTGGTAATCCAACATTATAGTAATGCCATAACTTAAAAGGTATTCAATTGGTTGCAAAACACTGAAATATTGACAGTCACGCAAGCTGTTATGTAATTGTAATTTTTTTTAAAATTGGTGAGGAATAGACTATTGCAAAATGATTAAATTTTTTTTAAAAACCAGAAACAGTGCTGGTAAGATTCATATATAACGCAAGAATATAAAACTCTAGCAGGATAATCAGAACGCACAGGATCATAGAATCCCTACAGTGCAGATAGAGGCCATTCGGCGCATCGAGTCTGCACCGACCCTCTGAAGAACATCCTACTCCCCCAGTCCCTGTAATCCGGTAGCAATTTAGCGCAGCTAACCCCACCTAGCCTGAAAAACCATGGACACTATGGGGCAGTTTAGCATGGTCAATCTATCTAACCTGCACATCAATGATTGTTATCATGGTCACCATGATGGAGACAAGTTTTCAATTCCAGATTTAATAACAGAATTTAAATTTCACGTGTTGCCATGGTGGGGGATATGCACTCACATCTCCAATGCATTAGCCTGGGCCTGTGGATTACTAGTTGGTGACATTACCTGTATACACATAGTCTACCTTGAATTAAGAGTGAAACTAAGTGGACAACTCTTTCAAAGGGCTGCACAATGACCCAAATGCCTACCTTCTGTGCTGTTTGGTTTGAAGTATGTGTACTTTTGAGAAAAAAATCAAACCAAATACAAGCAGTCTCCAATCGATATTAGAAATTTTTGAAAAGCTAATAATGTCATCCATGGTCAAATCTACAAAGTGGACACACTGGAACAAGAAAACATGGGAAATGCATGAAGTTACCTTTTTTAGTGCCTTTGGAAGAGTGCCAAACTGGGGCTCTGCAGATCTATCCACAGAATTATTTATATCAGATGGTACAGACTCTGTTCTTCGAATTTTTGATGAGACTAGATAACAGAGGAGAAATGTGTATTACTGGTTTCTCAAAGCAGTGTACTATCACATAACTCACTTCTGCAACAATGCAACTTGGGTCAAAACCCTACATGGAGCTGAACTAAACTTCAGACCATAACATTTTAGAGCAGAACAAAAACAGGAGCTCCTTCTGCTCTTGGTGCAAAATATCTCCTAACAGCAAACCACACCTTTACTGAACAAGAGTGATGTAACATTTAACAACACATTATTTGGGTGTAAGCTGAACCTTCAGTTATTTTCTTATTCCATTCCAAACAAATGCAATGTGAAACTTAGCTTGCTTAGGTCAGAATGCAACTTTCCTGCTGCCCAGGATTACAAGCATCTTTCGAAGAAAGTAGTAATATTCTATCGTTACAAAATTTCATGATAGAAATTGTATCACACACCACACAGAGGCACCTCACGCACCACCCCCTCCAAACACACACCCAGAGCCACACACACACTCACAAACACCCATACACATACAAACCTGCTGCAGCAGTTTGCAGCCATGTAAAACAGTGCAGGTATGAAAGGCAAAACAGAGATTTGTGAAAAGAGTCAAAAATATAGACTACTAGTGGGCTTTTAAGAAACAAGGTAGCAAACAGGATAATACCAATAGGCAGATGTAGGAAAAGAATCTGTAAATTCACATCAGAAATAAAAGTATACAGCTGGAGGACTCATTAAGATTGATAGGGGAGATGAAGCTGTGAGGGGAATTAAAGGGGAGGATGAGGATCCCAACATCTATTTCCTGGAAACTGATATTAATGGACCATGCTAAGGGCAGCTTGATGGTGACTGAGAACAAGCGGCAATCTGTGGCTTTCTAAATGTATGGAACTCACTGCCGGGGGAGGTAGTGGAAGCAGATACTATAGTGACTTTTAAAGGGTGTCTTGACAAGTACATGAATAGGATGGGAATAGAGGGATATGGTCCCCGGAAGGGTAGGAGATTTTACTTGTGATGGGCAGCATGTCGGTGCTGGCTTGGAGGGCCAAAGGGCCTGTTCCTGTGCTGTAATTTTCTTTGTTCTTTACCTTTTCTTTGTTCTTAAATTAAATTGGAGCTAGTAGAGGGAGACAGATTAATGCTGGTGGGGAAGATGGGTGCACAGGTGACAGAGAAATAGATAATCTGGATCCCACCACCATCATCATTCAATACATCACATAACACCCACTTTTAACCCCCCCTCATAAATGATGATCTATGGCTTCATGTGACTTTTCCTGGTCAACTGGTGTCTAACGTTCAGAAATTAGCTAACCATGTGACTAAAAATATATTTCAGGAGAAAGACTGTATACTCTACATTACAAACTGAAATCTTACTTTGAGGGAATGATATCCGGCATGGAGGAGCTTCTTTTGTGCATTTGTTGTGGCACTTTAATCTAGAAGGAAAGCAAAATAAAGTACCAACACGCATTCAAATTTATTACGATTTGTTATTAATCCAATATTGCCAATCTTATTTTTGTGATCTTCACTGACACATCAACTGCAATAATAGATAAGGTAATTACAGTTAATATTTTATGAAAAGCGGTTATATCCTAACTATTAAGTGAAATGTCAGAAAAACGTGCTTTTTTAAAATTAAAAATAGCATTTATATTAAGGCTTTATTCTGCAACAGCTTATTCATGTACAGCCTTATACTTTTTAACCTTGTTTTACGGATATCTGTTAAGTGGTTTTTATTAAGAGAAATGATCAGACTTTGGAAACATTATCATTTCCTGATTAAGTCAGAGGAAGACACAATTCCGAAGAACCAATGAATCAGTCTTGGTTAAGCATCTTTTCAAAACATCCCCCACACTGAACACAAACATAAATTTATTGCAGTAACAGAGTTGATACAACCCATTTTAATAAGTCAGCTGAACAAGTTGGAGAACTTGCCAGTGACCAGAAATGAACTCTCTGGTCTTCCGTCCAAAAGTTTCCTTATAATGCTTTGACAAAACCAAATAAAACAGCCTATTCTACAGTGCAGGAGTGATTATGATCTATACATGTGCTTTATTACATGTTTCATCAATGGGTATCAAGAGGATATTTAACAAAAAAGTGCTTCGCTCACATAACTTCATCCTGTCCTCATCTAAAGTCTCCCACGCGCACACACTCCACTTCAAAATTGGCAACATCGGATGAAAATCAACAGAAGCCACCTAATCCAATTTCCCCCTCCTTAGATGATCTGCCCATTAACTAAAACACAGACCAGGAATGCGACCTTTGGCTTTGTTAATCAGTGTTTTAGACAGTGCATTTATTCAAATTACAATAATTATGTGGTATATTACAATTACAGTTGTTCCAACAACTCATATGACAAATTAACTGTTCTAGCAGAACTTACCGACAATGTTTGCACTTCACGCCAAACATCATATTTTTTTGACAAACTTGACAAGTCTTTGATAGCCAGGATTTTGTTGAAAACCTAAAGGAAAGTGTGCAACAGAGTTTCTCAGCCTACAGGCAACGAAAAAGTTATATCTAAAAAGTGGAAGATTGATAAGAGACTCCAAAACTACACAGAATAGGAGTCAACAAAGTCAAGCTTTCCACCAGACACTATAAACAAAACAAACAAGTTCATTTTTAAGCTGATAAACTGCATTGAAGGGAGTGTTTTTTAAAAGACATTCCTATTGCTCCACATAACAATTAAAACTGGCCAAGTTCATTCTAAAAAAGCCATTTTCCATCTTTTGAAATGATTGCAAGAATTGAGAAAACTCACATTCCAGAAGAATTTAAACAATTTGTAAATCACATAGATTGGACAGTGTGAAAATATTTGAACACTGGTTCCTGAAAACAAGTCAACACTAACATTATCAAAGAAAATGAAAGTCATCCTTTAGATAAATTATATGACAATTAAAATCATTAGCCTGCTTTCATAATTAGACATTTGCAACATTTTTTGAGATATGACAATGTAAACTTTTCGCTTATAAAGCTTACAAACTACGGTCACACATTCATAGAATCCCTACAGTGCAGGAAGAGGCCATTCAGCCCATTGAGTCTCCACAAACCCTCTGAAGAGCATCTCACCTAGACCCAACCCCCACGCCATCCCCAAAACCCCACATGGGGTTTTTTACCATGGCTAACCCAACTTACTTGCACATCCCTGGTCACTACAGGACAGTTTTTAGCATGGCCAATCTACCTAATGTGCACATCTTTGGACATTCAATAAGAAATACAACCCAGATCCAACCAGACAAGTTTCTACAAACACTATTTCCTAAGAGGTCAATAGCAGCAAAACAGCAACAAACTGAGGATTGTACAGTTAAGCACACATTGATACATTTCTTTAAAAAGACAAAATTGCCAGAAAAGTCATTTTTAAAATGTAGACTTCCATGGATAATTTACCCAAAGTTTGGGTAAATAATGGGGAGGCGATGGCCTAGTGGTATTATCGCTGGACTGTTAATCCAAAGACCCGGGTAACATTCTGGGGACCCGGGTTCGAATCCCGCCACGGCAGATGGTGGAATTTGAATTCAATAAATAACCATGGAAATAACCATGAATCCATTGTCGATTGTTGGAAAAACCCATCTAGTTCACTCATGTCCTTTAGGGAAGGAAACTGCCATCCTTGCCTGCTCCAGACCCACAGCAATGTGGCTGACTCTTAACTGCCCTCTGGGCAATAAATGCTGCCTGGCCAGCGACGTCCTCATCGTGAATGAATTAAAAAAAAGACTTTCACCATCATGGGTAGTGTACCAACAACTCCTTTGAACATGACTTAAACAAAATAAAGTAGATCCATTAAAACGCATGAATTTGCTGGGCCAACTAATGGCTTTCTCAAGCTGAAGAATGATTTTCAGAATGCTTACAACAATTGCGTCATATGAAGCAGGATCCAACCTGTACTTCTCCACAAATTCAGTTCGTGATTTCAATCACTCTTTTATGGGCAACTATCAGGTAGATACCAGGCAGAACTCAACAACAGGAAGTGAGGGAACACTACAGAACTAATCAGCTGGAGCTAAAGTTATATTTCAATCATGCTCTCTAAATTTGCTGTTTAGAATAAGATGATCCTACTTCACCCTTGCTTTATTATTCTAGCTCCTTTGGCTGCAGTGCCAAAAAAAGCAGATAAACAATGTAAATCCTATCTTAAAATATGTAAAGGCCAAGAGACACATGAAGTAGTGGCAGATTCAACTGCGTCACAATAAATATTTATAGTCCCAAAAAAGAAGACACATTTTTCTGGTTCCTTGTTACTTACCTATGTGTAATGGATAGCCCAAAATCCCTTTGCACCATCTGAGGAGATCCCCGTGGTACATGTAAAGTGTCTGCGAAGGGAGAAGAGACTATATTTAAACTGACTGTCAAAAACAATTAAACCACTTTTAAGAGAAACCAAAGCAAAAATTACTTGGGCTGAACAGGTCAATGCCTGCTTTAAGGCACATTCTAAATCATCCTGGATTGCCATGATGAGAAGAAGGTATCTATTTTGTGTGTGAGACTCAAGTTACCACGGATGTAAGCATAAAGTCTAAGTTTTGTGCTTTTGTAGCATCAAAGGCTTACACGATACATTTAATTGGAGGCTCTTGTACCATATGGTGGAATAAGGTTTTGGACAATCAGTGCACATCAAACAAATTTAGCTGCACAAAACCTGATTCTCCAATTAAAGAGAATGGTAGATAAGATATCCATACAGACTTAAAACTGTTTATGTAAAACAACCTATTACATCAAACAGTTTTAGTCGAAATTAGATAATGTATGACCTTGTAGGATCGTTCAGCAATGAACTGATGTGGTGTATCTGCAGTTCCCCAAATGACCAATTTTCATGTTTTGAGAGTTTCTTCATTATTTTCTTTAAGTGGGGAAACTGGGTGGGAAAATTGATTTTATATTTGTTTCATTCTTTATAAACAATGTTCCTTTAAAGATTCTCATACTCAAGCTAAGGTCTGATGCTGCTTGGCCTGCTGTGTTCATCCAGCTCTACGCCTTATTATCTCAGATTCTCCAGCGTCGGCAGTTCCTACTATCTCTTTAAACTAGCTGTTGGCTTAGATTTTGAAGCTTGCCAGATCTTATTAGCAATGTGCAAAGTACTTCTTCCATCTGTTACTCCAGTAATTTATCATAAATGTCTTTTTCACCCATTCTTACTTCCACAGTTCACCTTGCTCCCCTCCCCCAACCTAAACACTCCCAGTTCTCCCATAACACAGCAGTATGTTTATAGCTGACTTAGGATCTGAAGAAGGGTCTAGGCCTGAAATGTCAGCCTTCATGCTCCTCTGATGCTGCTTGGCCTGCTGTGTTCATCCAGCTCTACACCTTGTTATTTTAGCTAGTTTAAAGAGATTGATTACATTGCAAAAAAAACCCAAAAAGGTTCACTTTATAAGAAATCAGCAAGTGCAAACCTCATTAGATTACACCTTACAGTTAGCCCTTTTAAGACTGAAAGCTGTTTGAAGCAGCTGTGGATAAAAAAGCCCAGAACGTATAGTTATAATGATGGCAAAACTGTTGATGTTCACCATCAGTGCTAAGCAAACTGATAGTAACATCCACACATATGGCATTAATCAAGGAATTCCAGAAATTTCCAGTCATACCCTGGTATTCCAAAAGAGTGTGACGTTGCAATTTTCACAAAAGCAATCAACACAAAATCTATAAACTTGTGAACTTCAACTTGCACACTATTCTCACAGTTTGCATTGGCTAAATGAAGTACAACTGAGTTTTTAAAACAGCATATCAACTCAATTATGCTAAATAGCCTCGGACCCAATAAACGTAGTTTTTCAAATCTAGAGTCTCATTGTCTCATGTAAAAATTGAAAATTCAATTTTAAAATAATTTCTTCCAACTATCATATTTCAACTTCAATCAGAAATTTTATATTTCAACTTCTATCTTAATCTCATGTATATGCCCCCATCTCTATTTTGCTTCCTGTACAATATTTTAAAAGGTTATAAATAGTCACTATTTTTTTGCTCATGAGAGTTCTTCAATCTTATTGGTTTATCTGCCTGTCTGCTGCTACTACTATCTCCAGATGGCACCTCAATCAAATTCACAAAATCATTATTTTAGATTCCGCGAAATCATTTTGGACAGTTATCTTCTTGGTCATTGATTGATGCTGTATGCTATTAACCATAAAGTCCAGACCACTTCGTTTTGTTCTTATTGACAGCCTTTGCTGTCAGAATTGCTGAGATAGTTTGACTCAGTGCAGAACAGGATTATACCTGGGACCTGTTGATCTAAATGGTTTAGAAGATGACAAAGGGCACAAAAAATGATTTATATTTGCACTGCTAATAAGTAGAATTAAAAGATTATTACATTCCCCTAATGTGCTAAACAATACAACCTAAAATGTTCCAGATTGGGCTAGGTTGACAGATCTTGGTGACATTTGGTATCGATGCCTTTGGAATGGAGATGTAAAAATAATCAGTTCTACTTCCATGATCATTATCTAGTAACTGCTGCAAAGTGTACATGAATTTTGGACAGGAAGAAACAAGGCTCAGCTCTGACACTGTAAAATGCTGTTCATGTTTAACGCCAGGCCTCACACATGAAGAATGGTCCCACCGGCAAGATACCAATCGACATGGAACAGGAGAGGAGCTGATGATAAAAGCGATGAAAGCTAAAATAAAGGAAAAGGCAGGGGGAGGGGGTGAAGGAGGAAACAGGGCATAAAGAAGGAAGGGAGAAAGATGGGGAACGGAAGAGAAAATCAATAAATCAAAGCAACATTTCAAATGAAAGTTGACAGGACAAGTTTGGCATAAATAAAGACCAGAATAATAAAGACCAGTGATTATTCACATTATTGTACTCTACTTTGCAGCTAGATCAATTATGTCACAGAAAAGTAAATATGACAAACCAAATTATAATTGTGCCCCCTATAGGGAGACAGCCAGTTCTGGCTGCATGGGCTAGTTAGTGAGCTCTGTTAAAATCACAAACGTTACTACACGAGTTCAATCGTTGCCAACTCTTTCTTCTGGAGAATAAATTATTTCTGTAAATATTGCAATGTCACTGTGTGTACAAGCAGAACACTAATGCATGCAAAGATATTAAATAATAAATCCATGTAGGTGCTGCTATATTTGAATTGCAGCTGTGGCTCCTAATAGCAGATATTTTGCTTTAAGTGATATCTTGAGCACAGTTATAAAGCAACTATCACTTCATGTTTTTGAAAAGATTTGTAGCTCAGGTTGTGGATGAGGTTGTAGACTTGCTGGCCAAGCCAGTGTGTTTGGCTGCAGACATTTTGTCACCCTGCCAGGTAACTTCGTCAGTGCGCCTCCAGTGAAGCGCTGGTGTTCTGTCCCACTTGTTATTTATATGTCTCGGTTTGCTGGGGTGGTTAGCATTATTTCCAGTTCTGTTTTTAGTGGTTTGTATAATCGGGTCCAGTTCAATGTGTTTGTTGATGGAGTTCTGGTTGGAATGCTTCACTTCATGTTTGGAGACAAGAAACTTGGTTATTGTAGAATAACCATTGAGCAACATCGGTAATTTGGGGATATAATGTGTGAATGTAAAAGCTAAACAGTGGTTAAAGTGGATTATAGAACATGCACTTCCTTCACTAGTCAGTAATATAAAGATCAAAGGACAATTAAAATTCCACATAATGCTACAACTATTAAATTGACTTAGAAGCTAAATTGGGACTATATTTAAGTTCAATTATAGCACCAATGAATTTTAAAAATGTTTAAAACAAAACAAACTTTGAAGTGTAAAATTCTCAAAAGGTATTACTCTGAAGTACATGCAAGGAAGGCATGGCGTGGAAGAAAAAAAACAGGTTGCCTTGCTGCTGTCTGTTCCCAGGGGCAGTTTTGCAAATAAAAACAGTTCAGGAAGTACAGCTTACCAATTTATTTTAATTTAATAAAACAGTAGTGTTTATTTGTGGAGGAAATCCAAAAAAAAGCAATAAAAGGTGCCAGATTCAAAGATTAAACGTAACAATAACGTGAACAGCACTCACCACACTAACTGAGTAAATTGTACAGCAAACTTTGAAGTCCACACAGATGCAAGCAAATACATAAATCTAGAATTTACTCTCAATCTGCTTACACTTTGTCTTTTTGCAAAAGACAATACAGAAACGATTGAAATGGTGTGAACATTGGGGTACTTGCCTACTAGTTCCACAATGCAGACAACAGATTAAAAAATTTCAGGATTAAATAAATTTGTCATGGAGCATTCAGTGATAATAATTGCCAATTAAGCTCAGTTCTCTGGCTTTGTAAAGATGATTTTACAAGTATGGAATCTCAATCTGTTAAAAGGCAGCTCATGTTGAGATTTGAGAGAAAAAAAAAAATCGAGTTTCTTTGTTTGGCTCTTATTGCTGTTAATCCCATCTGTATTTCCCAATCTTTTAGATTTTGAATTTGAGCAAATCTCTGCTCTGAATATCACAAAAGCTTTATTAGTGAGGCAAACAGCAAGAACCATTCTATTGTCACCGACCTCAAAATTCAGGCAAATGAATTAAACAACTCCAAAAGGTCCATATTGCCACTTCTAAGATCCATACAATCTCTACGGCAACTTTATGCAATATAATCACCTTTTAGCGCACCAAAATAATCTTCAACAAAGTCACAATCAACATTCTGCAAATAAGCAATGGCATATTTGTCTAAATCATTACCATCCTTCAATTCCACCTTCTTAGTCAACCTGTTCAGTGGAATGGTCTCCCTGGATTTCTCCTTGTTTTCTTAGAGAATCCACAGCGCTGGCCTCTATCCCCACCCTTGTATGTCACATCAATAATTCCTCCATAGACTTTTAGCCCTTCTTCTTCCTTTGTTTTTATTCACTCAAAATATGTGGGCACCACTGGCCAGCCTGCATTTATTAACTATTCCTAGATGTCCTTGTGGTGGTGGTGGTGGTGAGCTGCCTTCTTGAACCGCTGCAGTCCAGGTGCTGTAGGTTAACCCACATGCTCTTAGGGAGGGAAATTCCAGGATTTTGACCTAATAATAGTGAAGGAACAGTGATACGATTCCAAGTCAGGCTGGTGAGGGGCTTGGAGGGGAACTTGCATGTCATGGTCTTCCCATATACCGGTTAGCCTTGTCCTTCTGCGTGAAAGTTGTTACGGGTTTGGAAGGAGCTGTCTTAGGGGCCGTGGTAAATTGCCACAGTGCACAGTGCATCTTGTAGGTGGTACACACTGTTGCTACTGTGCAGTGGTAGAGGGAGTAGACGTTTGTGGATATGGTGCTAATCAAGCGGGCTGCTTTGTCCTGGATGGAGTCAAGCTTTTTGAGTGTTGTTGGAGCTACACACATCCAAGCAAGTGGGGAGTATTCCATCACACTCCTGGTTTGTGCCTTGTTAGGACAGGGGAGTCAGGAAGTGAGTAACTCATCGGGGTATTCCTAGCCTCTGACTTGGTCTTGTAGCCACTGCATTTATATGGCGAGTCCAATTGAGTTTCTGATCAACAGTAAATGCCAGGATGTTGACAGTGGGATATTCAGTGATGGCAACACCATTGAATGTCAAAGGATGGTGCTTAGATTGTCTCCAATAACAGACAGTCAATGCTTAGCAATTGTGTGGTGTGAATGTTACTTGCCACTTGTCAGCCAGCCTGGATATTGTCCAGGTCTTGTTACATTTGAACATGGACTGCTTCAGTATCCGGGGAGTCGCGAAAGGTGCTGATCATGTGCAATCTATCACTGGTGAACATTTTGACTTCTGACCTTACAATCGAGGGACGGTCATTGATAAAATCAGCTGAAGATGGTTGGGCCTACATGACTACCTTGGGAACACTTGTAGAGATGCCCTGGAGTTGAGATGACAGACCACTAACAACCACAACCATCTTCTGATGTGCCAGGTAGATTCCAACCAGCAGAGAGCTTTCCCATTTACTCTAGTTTGGTTAGGAGCTCACTGATGCCACATTCTGTCAATCTCAGCTTTAAACGTCAAAAGCAGTCACTCTCACCTCACCCCTGGAGTTCAGCGCTTTTGTCCAGCCGAAGAGGGTTTACATTTAGGATGCCATATATTCTTATAAAGAAACAGCTAACTGCACATTCAGTTAATTGTGACTATAGACTGGTCACACAGTTCTCAGCATGTTCAAGAGAAAGAGTGATCATGCATTCCTTGCTATTGCAGTTATGGAAAGATGCATGGCATAAAAGGTTTGTGAGAATTAAATTAATTATGTTTCCAAAAAAAGAGTCAAGAACAAACAGGAAACATGCATTAAAACAGAGACAACATTCAACACATATTTAAAATGATTAGAGTGAAACATTTGCACAGTGATTAGCCGTCTACTCAACACATTCACTCAGAAAAATCATGCAAAATTGAAAACCAAGCATGCCATGCAGGATTATGCCACATCAACACAATGTAATCTAGTGATAAATGCAAAAACACCCAAACACATTGCATGCGCCAGAGCCATGTTAATGTTAAAATACCAACTTTTAGGAGAACTGTGGTCATCAGACGGACAAGGCGTTGTGGGAAGACAGTGAGAACTCCCAACAGATTGAGGAAAGAAAGGCCTACATGGCATTAAAGGGGATCGGGTAGCAATATCATCGCAGCTGCTGCCACTGCCATTGATGTTCAGATTGAGAAAAAACCTGTTTTTCTTACCGAACCTAGAAAGAAAAGTTGAACAATAGTTACACTGACTAATAGTAATAATAATAATAATAATAATAATAATAATAATAATAATAATATAATTAAATCAGTGCTGTATAATCAAAAATTGTGAAGCAAGTGATAAATTGTATTCAACAAACTGGAATAAAAATATCATTATAATCGATTCATAATGGTTATAATGACAGATTTAATACTAAAGAACAGAAGTGAAATGAATCTAACTCAATTATGGGGCTACAAAATTGAACATAAGAAGAATAGAATGGGGCCATAATGAAAACTGCAGACATGTTGAGTGGATAAGAAGATCTTTCTTTCATGTGTGTTAGTGAAGCAAACTCACAAATGCACTCTTAATAGAGGTTTACAAGTTTGTTATACTGAAGCATAGCAGAACTCTTGTCAAGTGACAGTTTACATTACATGTATCTAACTCCAACTGACACTGCAGCATATATGATTCACTCAATAGCCAATTTAAAAATACAAAAAAAAATGCTCTGCTTTCTCCAAATGAATGTCTCACATCTATGATTTTGGTGCATTTTGTAACAAGTCTGCAAAAACAGTTCTTTGTACCATTTAAACAATAGCACAGCCACAAGGCTTTAGCTCTTATCAACAGTGGAATTTGAGAGAGAAAACTTTGCTTCATGTTCACAATAGCACAGGAGGCTGCCATTCAGCTCCGAGTACAAGGATCTGGTCAATCTCATTTTATTTTGCTCAATATCATTCCAATAGCTCTGCAAGTTTAGCTCTCAGCTGTCTATCCAATGTCCTTTAGAAATCAACAATCATATCTCTCTGTACCACTCATGTGTATCCAAGCTCCAGGCGATTACCGCTGGCTACATAAAGCACCATTCCTCATATCCTCATACATCTCAGACCTGTATCTCCCTATCTGTGCACCATCAGCTAAATTGAATTCTGATGAATTTCATTTGAATTCTGCTGGTGCCACTTTGGAGTGCATGCTACCAGAGGCAAAAGCAAGGTCAGCATTTCTAAATCCAACTCTTTAGCTCAGCGTGGTCCCTTCCCCTTCCTTCATGGTCAGGTCTGTGGTCCTAAGCCTGTCCCTTTCTAGCTCTGCTTCTCAACTGAAATACGGTTTTAAAAGAAAATATTAGTTAGCACTGATGCATGGCACTTTTCAACGGTCAACTTTATTGTTCACTCATTTTTTAAACTATCGAATCATTGCTTTGGAATTTTGTTTCTCAAATTCACATTCACTATTCTTCCAAATCTTATTTTCAAATTAAATTTGCTCAGTAGTCTCAAGGGAAAGAAAAGTTGAAATGTGGCCTTCCACGTGGAAAGGTTAGACATAATCTTATTCACGTTGATCAGATCTCCCGTCAACCTCAACATAGAACAACCACTGCTACTTCTCCAACCTAACTTTGTAGCTGAATTGCCCCATCTCTGGGGCCATTCTGATAAATCTCCTCTGCACAATAATGAGGGTCTTCAAATACTTACTGGGTGTGGTGACCTGTACAGGACATAATACTGTAGTTGTGACCAAAACAGAACTTAATTTCCATGTGTTTGAGATCGATATCTCGAATTCTCTGAAGGCTGAACTCTTGAGTGCTTTGATAGCTACTCTCTCCATATGTTTGGCCGTCTTCAAAGATCAGTGCATATGAACCCCCGGAAACCTCTACATCCGACTATTCTTTAGAACAGAGCCATTAAACTATAAAAGAATATAAGAAATAGTAGGAGTAGGCCATCTGGCTCCTCAAGCCCATCCGCCATTCAATAAGATAATAGCTGATCTTTTCATGGACTCAGCTCCACTTACCAGCCCACTCACCAAAGCTCTCAATTCCTTTACTGTTCTAAAATCTATCTTAGCCTCAACTGCTTCAATAGGCAGGGAATTCCACAGATTCACAACTTTTTGGGTGAAGAAGTTCCTCCTTAACTCAGTCCTAATCTGCTCCCCCTTTATTTTGAGGCTCTGCCCCTTAGTTCTAGTTTCACCCGCCAGTGGAAACACCTCCCTGCTTCTATCTTATCTATTCCCTTCATTATTTTGTGTTTCTGTAAGATCTCCCCCTCCTCATTCTTCTAAATTCCAATGAGTATAGTCCCAGTCTACTCAATCTCTCCACATAAGCGAACCCTCTTAACTCTGGAATTAACCTAGGGAACCTCCACTGCACCCCCTCCAGTGCCAGTACATCCTTTCTCAAGTAAGGAGACCAGAACTGTACACTGCACTCTAGGTGTGGCCTCACCAGCACCCTATATAGCTGCAGCAAACCTCCCTGTTTTAAAATGCCATCCCTCTAGCAATGAAGGACAATATATGACTCTACCTTTGCCTGCCAAAAGCATGACCTCCCTTCTCTGCATTAAATTCCACCTGGTATTCACCTGTCTGTTCTGGTGGCCTATGTCCTGTTGCAGTCTATTAGCCTCATCCTCACCATTTGACATTATGAGGAGAGGTTGAATCGGTTGGGATTTTATTCACCGGATTCAGATGAATGCAGGGAGATCTTATAGAAACCCATGAAATTCTAACAGGACTAGACAGGGTGGATGCAGGAAGGGTGTGCCCAATGATGGGGGAGTCCAGAACTAGGGGTCACAGACTAAGGATACAGGGAGGACCATTTAGGACTGAAATCGAGAAAAACGTCTTCACCCAGAGAACGATGAGCTTGTGGAATTCACAGAAAATAGTCGAGGCCAAAACATTGTTTGATTTCAAGAATGAGTATGATATGGCATTTAGGGCAAAAGGGCTCAAAGGATACGGGGTGGGAAAGTGGGAACAGGTATTGAGTTGCATGATCGGCCATGATTATAATGAATGGCAGAGTAGGCTTGAGGGGGCAGGGAGAGAGATAGAGAGAGACACAGAAAATGAACTAATTGCAAGTGAATAAGGTATATTGAACTTAAGGCTGCACATGGTCAGGAGCTACTGTATGGGAGGGGGGAGAATGTAGTGGAATCTATTTTAATTAACGGCATGTGTCAATTCTTAAATTTAAATCTGAGATTGAAATCGGAGATGCATTATGAACTGCATTAACTACCCGATGAAAATATTCCAGCTTCACAATGTTGTGATAGAAAAATATTAGCTGGAAGGTTTGTTTTTGGTAATGGTTGTGTATAGAAGAATAGGTCAGTTACTTTGGGTGGGTGGGGGGGAACCTTTTGATGCTAACTTACACCTGTTGCTTTCTACCAAATTAAATACCATGGCATCAAAGAAATGTAATGTTTTCCTTGGAAACTGTGGCTTTACATTTAATAGATAGGTGATAATTAATGATTAGTCATGAATTATTCCAATTCTGCTTCTGAGAGAATCCAAATATCCCCTACCACCTGCATTTGGGTGCTTGTCATCACTGCATCACCTAAATAAAGGAGTTAGTGAGAATGTAAAAAATGGCCCCCTTCCACCAGTCTGAAGAAAAACGATTTATCATGGTACTGTTTTCTGCCCTCAAGTTACTTTATCCAACCTGGGACTGGCCCTCCAATCACATGAGCCCAGGATCCAAGACCGGGGTGCACATCTCAGCCCAATACCTTGGGTCTGCTCAGCTGTGCTCAGGTCCAAAGGTGGGGAAATGGGCCAAAAGGGATGCAAGGGCCTACGATTTCTGGTTCTAGCCCTGTATGAATTCAAGTTTGTTAAACAGCCCCTTAAGTGATATTTTATCAAATGCTTTAAAATCTATATTGACATCTATTGTATTTCCTTAAATCAACCTTCTGTTACTAACTTATTGAATTTCATTGAAGTAAAACATAATCTACAATTTAAAATATATTTAATTAACTCCATTCTCTCCAAGTGGCTGTCAATTTTATCTTAACTATCAATTCAAACTATTGTTAAATTGACTAGCATGTACTAGGAATGTTTTTAATACTCATTCTTGAGCAGGTTAACATTTGCCACCCTCTAATTCCTCTGGCATCTCTCCAGTATGTGAAGATTACAGTAAACCTATCGTGATCTGCAAATCACTTCCCTTAGCTACCTGAGCTGTGAGCTATCCAGACTAGATAACATACACTCTTAAGAATAGCTAATCTTTCCAGCACATCCTGCCTCTCAATTTTCACTTCTACTGATACTTTGTCAGAATCCTATTCCTTTACAGATCCTGACAACATACTGACCGAGTACTCTATCCTTGCCCTGTCCTTAAGCATACATCACACTTGCCCTGTCCCTAATAGGCCCCATTGTGCCTCCTACTATCTACTTACTGGTTACATTAAGATGAGATTTTTGGGTTACATTTTAACCACCATTCAATACTCACATCCCCTCATCACTTTCCGTCTCGACTTATTGCACTTGGACAGATTCTCCCTTCAAGAATTCACGACATCAATCAAACGTCTTTTTTTTTTCATATTTTCTCTCTCCCCCAACAGCCAAGGAGCCCCTAAATTTGGCTTTTGTAATAATGTAGCTAGTCTGTTTTTAAAGCAGCTCCTTCATGAAGGGGCATGCATTGTTTCATTGGATTTTGTCAGCATTCAGTACTATTTTAACCTGGTTGTTAGCCATTTTTTGTATCTGAAAATTCAGCCTTTGTCCCTTAACTAAACTCCCAAAGCTATTTTCAACACTTCCATTCACGAATGGAAACAATATACTGGAGACAGTTCCTCTTAAAGACCAGTGATTTAGCTGACAAACAAACTGAAGTTAAATCAGCATTATTGCACAAAACTTAGAAGCAATAAGTGATGCTTGGCTTCGGTTAAAAGATAATAAATAAATCTAAAAAACTCTCACCAAAACTATTACAACTAATTACTGACAAGTTATCATTTATTGCTTAATTCTTGATAAACACAAAGCAGACTAATAATATTTACCAAATATATATCTACATATAAAACTGTTTTCTGAGCAAATTCACACAATACTCTGAATATTTATAACTGTTCAAATCTTTGTTTTGTAGTGAAACAAAGCGTTCAATTTTGCACATGCTTTGGAAACCCTATGAATAACCAATGGATATTTACATATTGACACTTTATGGGGAAACTGCATGATTTTGTAATGGCTTACAACAGACACTGTGCACAGTAGGTTCAAGTCAAAAGCCTCGAGAATGTTCTTATTAAGAAAATCATGGCTTTTGTTTTGGGGACAGTTATTGTCCCCACCAGGAACCCTTGCAAGGTGATAAGGATAACCGTTCAATCACATCCTTGGCTACAACAAATAGCACATACAATACAAATAAAATCAAACAAAACTTTGCTTTGTTAGCGAAGTTAAAAAAAAGTAGAAAGCTAAAATCAACTGCAGAACCATTCTAATAACTGGATAGTCTTAATTCTGGATTTTAGATGTTGCTATTAAAAATATGGTTTAATCACAAAGAGCTAACAATGAAGGCATAAATTTCTGTTGTACCCACCAAACCACTCCCCAAGTGGACTTGAAATAAATTTGCATTGCCAGAGAACAATACATAGTTTCGATGCTTTACAAGTTCTTACACAACAGTTTCAGCTGGATTGCTATACAGGAAGCAGGGTACAAGAGCTTTCAGCTCTACTTTGTGGTGGAGCACAACATTCACTCTGCAAATTCCTGAAAAAGAATTCACCTGAAATCATTCCGCATAAACTGATCAATTTGGCTGGGATTTCAAGATTACAAATTTGCCATGTTTCCTCCCCCTAATGCCAAGTATTTCACGCTACCAGTTGGCACTCAGCTAAGCAAATTCTCTTCACTTCCCCATACTACTCTGCAAATGAACAGTAGGGGGTAAGTTTGAGCAATGACAGTCCTGCCTTCAAAAGGCAATTTAAACTCTTACGGTCAAGGGGAGAATAAAGAAGCATCACGTCAGGATGAAATTATGGATGTCAAA